CTACCGTCCTATTCGCGCCATCTGACATCTTCGGTAGCCGCCACCACACATCGCTGCCATTTGCCGTTCTTGCGTTTTGTCAAGACACTACCGGAATATTTATTTCCAATCCGAACTCATGCCCTCTCAGTTTGCGCTGCAACGAGACGCTCGGCCACATTCAGCTTATCGATGAAGATACTATCGTGCCTGCCGATTTCTTCGACACCAAGCCGAATATGGAGCTGAACGCGTTGGTTCCTCACTTGCCTCGAACAGCGTGTCGTCCGATGCATTTCACAGTTATATTGACAGCCATCTCGCCCCGGCTCAACGAGAGCAGCTTGTCACCCTGTTGCACGAATTCAGGCGTTCGTTTGACTTTCCCCAAGCGGTTCTAGGAAGAACGAACACCGTTGTGCACACGATTGACACAGAGAAGAGTACTCCTTTGCACCAGCCCCTATCATGTGTCCCCGGCGGAGCGTCGCGTAATCGCAGAACAAGTAGACAACATGCTACAGCGTGGAGTCATCAAGCCTTCTTGTAGTCGTTGGTCTTCACCAGTCGTACTCGTAAAAAAAAAAAAGAATGGTTCGATCCGGTTCTGCGTAGAGTACAGGCGCCTAAACAACATTACGAGGAAAGATGTCTACCCTCTTCTCCGCATGGACGACGCTCTCGATTGTCTCTAAGGTGCAGAATTCTTTTCCTCACTTGACCTTCGCTCAGGCTATTGGCAGGTCCCAATGGCTGAGTGTGATCGTCCAAAAATGGCGTTCGTCACACCGGATAGTCACTATGAATTTACCGTAATGCCATTCGGACTCTGCAATGCGCCCGCCACATTCGAGCGAATGATGGACAGCATTTTACGTGGCCTCAAATAGAACATTTGCTTGTGCTATCTTGATGACGTGGTCTTTTCACCCGATTTCACTTCGCATCTCACTCGTCTGCGTAAAATTCTACAGTGCCTTATAAACGCCAGGCTTTAGCTTAACCTGAAGAAATGTCACTTTGGGGCTAAACAACTCACCATACTTGGTCATGTCGTCTCGAAAGCCGGCATCCTTCCCGACCCTGACAAGCTTCGTGCTGTTGCCGAATTTCCTAAGCCGAGTACAGTTAAAGAATTACGGAGCTTTGTGGGCCTGTGCTCCTATTTTCGTCGGTTTGTCCGGAACTTTGCTTCCATCATCGCTCCGCTCACCAAACTCCTTGCTGGTCCTGCAGATCTTTCGATTGGACTGCAGCCTGTGACGAATCCTTCGCAACACTGCGCCAACTCCTTACCTCACCACCCGTACTGCGTCATTACGACCCTACTGCGCCGACCGAAATACACACGGATGCAAGTGGCGTCGGCCTTGGTGCAGTGCTCGCGCAACGCAAACCAGGTTTTACGGAGTATGTGGTCGCCTATGCCAGCCGCGCCCTCACTAAGGCAGAAACCAACTATTCTGTCACGGAAAAAGAGTGCCTGGCGATTGCGTGGGCGTTAAACAAGTTTCGCCCCTATTTGTACAGCCAAACGTTTGATGTGGTAAGTGACCATCACGCACTCTGTTGGTTGGCTTCACTGAAAGATCCTTCTGGTCGCCTCGGACGTTGGGCACTACGCCTCCAGGAATTCGACATACGCGTCGTCTACCGATCGGGGAGAAAGCACTCTGACGCAGATGCGCTTTGACGATCACCCATGAAATCTGATAATACGGAAATATCAGCCCTTGACCTTCCCCTCTCTGCCGTCAGCGTCACAGACATGTCATCCGAACAGCGGAAAGACCCCTGGATTGTCTCGCTCTTGAATATGCTTTCCGACGCATCAACTTCCGGTTACCCGCGTGCTCTTCGCCGCCAAGCAACGCATTTCGCCATACGGGATGGCTTGTTATACCGTCGCAACTACCAAGTGGTGGGTCGTAAATGGCTGCTAGTCATACCCAGCCATACGCGGCCTGATAGCTGCAAATATTTTCATGCTGAGCCGCAACACGCACACGCCGGTGTGCTAAAGACGTATGAGCGGATCCGCCAACGTTGTACGCAAACACATTCGCTCATGTTCCCTGTGTCAGCAGCGCAAGACATTTCCTCATTTACCCGGTCAACTACAGCCTTTACCATGTCCTGCACGCTCATTGGGATTGACCTATACGGCCCACTACCGTGCTGTGTTGGTGGTAATCGATGGGTGATTGTGGCTGCCGACCACCTGACAAGGTACGCCGAAACGACAGCGCTACCTTCGGCTGGCGCTCGTGACGTTGCAACCTTCATCTTGCACCGGTTTGTTCTTCGTCATGGTGCACCACGTGAGCTCCTGAGCGACAGAGGTTGCGTATTTTTGTCCGAAGTTCTGCAGCAGCTCCTACAGTCATGCCGTACGGTACACCGCACATCAACAGCCTACCACCCTCAGACGAACGGCCTAACAGAACATTTCAATAGAACCCTCGGAGACATGCTCGCTATGTATATTGATTCCGACCACTCCAATTGGGACGTTGTCCTTCCTTTCGTGATGTATGCCTACAATACGGCGATTCAATCAACAACGGGCTTTTCTCCATTTTTTCTTTTATATGGTCGTGACCCATGCAGCACACTCGACACAATTCTGCCATACAATCCTGATGCCTCCGAGTTCAGCCCAGTTTCTGAGATGGCCGAACATGCCAAAGAGTGTCGTCAGCTTGCACGGTCCTTCACAGCAGATAATCAAGGCCTCCAAAAAGATCGCCACGACCGTGATCTTTTTCAGGACACTTTCCCCGTCGGTTCTCTCGTGTGGCTCCGACTGCCTTTCCACTCTCCTGGCCTGACTCCAAAGTTTGCACCGAAGTATACTGGCCCTTACCGCGTCATACAGCACCCTTCTTCTGTCACCTATGTGATTGAACCGCTCAAGCCGTCCACGGACAAGCGCCGCCTTGGTCGTGAGACGGTCCACGACAGTTGCCTGCCTCAAGACCTGCTACGACCCTCCTGTTCTCTCGTCACCTTGAGTCACCAGGATGGCTCGTCTTCGTCGCCACGGTATTGTAGTGGGGAATTCGCAAGGCACTGCCTAGAGGAACCATCTCTCTCTGAGTGCGAAGCGCGAGTGGGTGCACGAGCTGTAGACGCTGGACTGCTCGAGCATTTCTGTCTGTACTGGCTGCCTGCCTACTGCCTGGCGTCACTATTAAACTCCCTTGCAATATCATTAATATAAAATAGAAAAAGCAAAGGCCTAACACACTGCCCAGTGGTACGCCGGAGGTGACCGGAAGACAATTCGAATGTTGACCCCCTACATCAATGTATTGTTTGCGATTATTTAGATACGCATAAATCCAAGAAACGAATGTTTTTAGTATACCTATGGTTCTAACTTTGAAAACGAGTCTACTGTGAGGAACTTTATCGATAGCTTAACAGCAATCTATAGAGCATGTCTATCCTACCCTGTCTGCCGAGGGTTAATGCAAAAAAATGAAACATTGTTACGAGTTGAGTTATAGTTCATTATCCTTTTTCAGAAAGCCATGTTTATACTCAGTCAAAATCAAGCGCTCTTGCTAGAAGGTGGTTATACAAGCAGCTATGATGAGTTCAATAAGTTTGCAACATTGCAAAGTTAGTGAAATTGGATGGTAATTTCCTACAGTCAAGCGGTCTTCCTTTTAAAAAGATATGCACTATTCGGGCTGTTCTCGAATCACCCGGCAGTTGGGAAGATAACAAAGAAGAGTGAAAAATATTAACAAAAAATTTTACAATAGATAAAGCATATTGTCATAGGAATACGTTTGGTACATTATTAGGACTGCACGATGCTTTGGTTTTCAAATTTAGCAGCACAGATACAGTGTAGACCGCTTATAACGTAAGTCACGGGAGTTGTAAAAATTCGCGCTATAAGCGGTACCGCGTTACACCCAAAGCATGCTTTTTTCGGCCTTTGCCTATGTCAAAAGGGCAACCCACCTTTCAAAAGCAATTTACTACACTTTTCACTTGCAGACACATTCAACACAATTACAACACCACACAAAGTTCTCAAGTCCGGCATCAGCGGAAGAACGCTGTTATTTTCGTCTGGCGATGCTTGCGAACAGCGCTGCCAACAATTTCGTCCTCCACAAAGCTTAAGTACTGAAGCGATTTCTCGCTCAAACTGTTTTTCGCCCAGTACGTTTTCACTTTAGCAAGGTATTCCAATGCGTCTTTGCACGGGAAATCTGGTTCTGGCGTCGGGTCGACATCGTCTTCGCCGTCTGACTCGTCGTCGGTTGCAACCTCCGCACTACAGTGCACCGCTGCGACGATCGCTTCATCTGTGCTCGCTTCCTCGCAGACAGAAAGCTCCGACTCCGAGGCATCAACAAATTCTTGGAAAGTGTCGGTGGCGATTACAAAGTTGCTGTCAATGAGGCAGGACCACACGTCATCAGTGTTGAGGGTCTCATTGGCGAGCGACGTGTCGCTCTGCTCATCGTCTTCCAGAGCCTCTGCATTGCGCACGAAGCCTGCCCTCTTGAAACACTTGCTTATGGTATGCGCAGCTGTGTCACCCCTGGACTGGGTTTAATTTTTGTCAGTGCGGCCAGACCACGCACAGAAATTTCAATTTTCAAGAGATTTTTTTGCCAACTGTACAAATGTATGATATGTCGAAATCCGGGAGACTTGGCAAGTATGCATTTGTTCACAGTGAACAAGGCACCCGTATTGAAACGTCGATTCTGATGTTTTGTGTTCTTCTTAATTGGCGAGTGTACATTTTGTTGAACCATGACTTTTTCTTCACCAGAAAAGTTTTCGTCAAACCCTAGACTTGAACCATGGAACTGCACTGGTCCACACTGTACTGAAGCACATAGTAACTGACCTTTTTTTTTTTCATGACTCATTTCAGAAACAAGAAGCAAATGTCCTTACAATTTGAGACAGACACTCCTTTGAACATTTTCATAACAGCGCATTTCTATAGTGTAGGTCAAAGTGAAAGAAAGGTTTACCATAGCTACCTGATTCCTGTAGGCTTGTGCAGCAGGCCTGAAGAAGCCTTTCAAAAAGCTTCCGCTTGATCTCTAGGTGCGAGGCAACAAGCTCATTGGTCAGGGCTAATTTGTTGACGCATACCAACACTTGCCCTCGTTCCTGGTACAGCAAAAGCATAATAGAATGAAATTTAGTTGGGAAAAAACTGAACTAACGGATAAAGCAAAAAAAAAAGAAAGCGCTTTAGATGGTGTGAGCACTGTATGCACATTCAGCACATCTTAGTGGGTCTTCGCATTCGCTCTTCCTCATGAAAAGAGGCACTCATTTAACAGTTAGCCACCTTTTACAAGTAACAAAATGAAGGAAGCTATATGGGACATACACATGCGCAGGAAATGCGACAATGTGGGCCCTGTGACAATGCGCTCCTCATTTATGCAGCTGTTTCACCAACTAGTCCAACAACAGTGCTCCTATGAAGGTTTTACAACGTTTTCCAGTAAAGTCAGGATATATGAGGTACAGCCCATTTCTATGCATTGCTACACACTTGAGCTGCAAGCTTTTGTGCTCAACGCAATCACAAAGTGATGCTTCAAAGTCATGCAAGGTATTCTTACACTTTCAATACACATAGTCCTCATTTTTTCCCTGTTGTGCATAGCATTCGAACACCTTCAGCACATGAAGCTCTTTCTAAAACATGTGCGGAGTGATGCACCTCATCATTTCTGTCTGTTGTGCATAACATTTCAATGCTTGTAACAACAGACTGAAGTCCTTCTGTGGGCTTGCCCAAGGTAATGAGCTTAGTTGCCGTTCTGCAGGCCCATTAAGATTCACAACATGCTTCCTCTATTCAGCCACTTCCACGGGGCTCTTGCACAACAGCACTTAAAGTATCAGATCCCCCCCAAAAAAAAAAAAATGAGTTCAAATCTGCGTGGAGTGAGAAATTTCTGCTAAGAGGTATTTACAAAGAGAAACAAGGGGACAGAGGCATTCTCAGCAAGAAAGTTTTCATGGTTTCCTAAATCATTATCATCAATAGTTTTAAAGTGCACAGCTCCTAGTTTCTTTGAAAGCCTTGCAATGTAATTCAAAGCTCTTCAACAGCAATTTCAAATTTAAGAACCACATGATAAGCATAGAATGGGTTATAATGACATACTACCAATAATTTACGATTTCAAGAAAAAGCCTCCGTCTTTCCATGAAGCTAGATTTCTCAATGATGATAACAGTGACAATGAAATACCAACGGGTGATTTAATCGTTATTGGAACATGTAATGCTTCTAAATATGTATGTGTCTTCAATGAAAATGAATGATGTAATTTTTTTTTTAATGCTTCAGCTCCAGAACAGTTTGAATATAGCAGGTATGTTTCTGGTTTGTAATTTCCGCTTAGCAGAGACAGTCATGCACACAGCAGCAGGGCATCAAGTTCCATTCTATAAACCTCCAGCACCAATAGACAGCAAACAGCAACGCACCATCCAACACTGTTTAGAAGAACCCTCGATGCCACGCCAAGCAAGGAGAAACGCTGACTCCACAACACAGTCAATCAGTTGTTCCTCGGTGCCGCCACTCAGGCCGTTATCCACTGGGCTTCGCACGGGTGATGTTCCCAACCTTGAGCATCACAATGTGATGAATAAAATGAGCGTAGATTTTACACAGCGACACGAGCGCACATGAAAATAAGGTGTGGCAACCACTGTGCATCAACTTGCGCAACCTCCGTCTCGTCACTGGATAGGCCGGAGTGACACAGCCACGTGCTTCAATGTGCTTCCGATAAGAGACAGCGCCACCACAGTTTCACTGGAAACTTATGTCACCACTGCTGGCTTTGTTATAAAACCCAAGCTGCCAAGCTCGGTTTAATGATTGTTTCTCTAACCGTTCGAGAGCAGCAGCAGCATGCTTGCCCCGTTGCTGCTACCACGTTAATAAACGATCGTTACGCTTTGTGCTGGGGTCCGTCCTTTTTTGAACCTAGATCCCACAAAGGCAATAGCGAACTACTATGGAGCATTTCTTTGACTAGAATTAATAAAAAACTTTTGTCTCATGTTAGAAACAAGTGAATCTTCAAAGCCTTATGTAGTGTGTTGAACATATTCGATAATCTTAGTTAAGCTGTCAAGCATTAATTACAGCTTTAGAATGATGAAGCAAAGGTTGTCTTGTGGTAAACTCTATATTCATCTCCCCAGTTAGAATGCTATCTAGTTCTTGTTCCACCACACAAGTTGAAAATGGAGCATTTTTGATTTAATAAATTCAAGGCACCAAAAACACCATGTCATTCAAATTATGATATACAAATGAATAAAAAATTGGCAACATAAAGTGATACATAGGCTTGCCAGAACCAAAGGACAAATCAGGATTGTCCAGTTTACCAAATTAATGAAGTTCACATATAAGAACTTTAGCCGTAGCAAGCTACGCTAAATGTCAATCTGATTTTTTGCCCTGGCGGATGCTGGAGAAGGTGGACATTACAGATCTGCCCATGCTAAAGAACTGAATAATAAAAGCGCGTGAATATTCGGAGTTTCGAATATTTTTTTAATAGTGTTTGCTATTTCATTCAATCTGCACTGAAATTTTCACTATTTGAACTATTAGAGCTTCCCAAAAACAAATGCAGTCAACGTCTAGTTAAAAGTGATGCTATCAAATTTTTAATATGCTTGACCTCATTACATTCTCGTATTGCAGCAACGCTACCTTTCAGGCTCACAACCACGAAGCAAGAATTTTTTAGACGAACTGCGCTCGCTCGGGCGCCCTGAAAAGGTCACGAAATCGGGCACAGCGCTTAAACACCCTCTGTTGTGAAACTTAGCTAGCGAAGGAAGAAGAACACGGGCATCGCTCTCACCACGTTCAAGGCCACTCCGCTTTGATTCGCTGTTTGAGCTTTACGTCCAACTGGGTGTGTTGCTGTGCGTACTCGCTGGTTGCAAATTTTAACGCGACAGCGCTAGAAAACTCATTTCGCAGAAAGGTCATTGTTGTCATCATCCTTGGTTGGAAAAGAAAACTTAGCGGTGTCCGTGACCGTGAAAATGAGACAGATGCAAATGTTTTCGGTTTTAAGTAGGCATAGAGCCCATGCATTTTTCATGGCATGTAGCTGTTCGACCACAGACCTACAATACTGCTGGAAGCTGCCTCGAAAAAAAAAAAAAAGAACTATGTGAATGTCACATAACACGTCATGCAACATGCCTATATGTTATGTAACATGGTGTGGCAGAGTCGCCGTCTAAGAAGTGCTCCTCACAAACATAGTCACAAGGTGTCAGCTCGCGATCTTACGTATGCCGCGAGCCCACACTTCCAACCTCACCGGGTCACTAGGAACTTTGAGGGTAATTACGTTCTCCTTGCAGGATGCTTAACCACTGCTGCAGTTTGACTCAACAGATTTCCACCCCATATTGCGAAGGGATTCACCAGAGCTTGTGGGCAACTTTCCCTCCCAAGGCCACCCATGCATGCACGCCCACAACATGTCAGTGAGCAGCAAGAGGCACGTGCATGCGGCAGACGTCGTCTGCTCCAGGCCATTGCTAGCAGCTCGTTTCAGGTGCTTTGCGACTGTAATTCTGGCAGTATTAGTCATTAACTACCACTGAAATATTTGTCACATCTAGTTATTTATGTTACACACACAAATTTCAAAAAATTTGCAGTATACGAAGCACTATCACAATTTTCAGGCGTCACATCCATAGAAGCGCATGTAAACAATGGCAACACGCCGAAAGTGTCATCTATCGGGCATTGTAAACCACATCGCTTTGTGACACTACTGGGTCACCCTCGTGCACTGGTACAGCCTGTAAGTTTCTCTTCCTCAAATGCTTCTTTTTCCGTGTCCGCTACGGTCAAACTTTTCAAAGACACATTCGTCAAACTAAATATGGCCCCTTCAAATTTGTGAATGCTTCACCTCATCACACAGTCCAGTATTGCGGCAAAGCTGCCTTTTAAGCTCTGCTACGGTCGCAAATATATCGAATCAACTAAACGCTGGTTCCAACAAAGAGATGGTAGATGTGACAGAAATACAGGCACAATCAATGCTGTTTTGAACCTGAAATTTAGACAGGAAATCTGAAAAATTTAACACAAAAAATTTTTAGCCTCTAAAATTTCAAATGTTTATGTATGTTAACGTAAATGAGGCAAATTTGGGACTTCAAACTTGAAGGAAGCACTACCTTGTCTGCCGGATCAGTTGGGCTTCCGCAGAAGTTGAAAAAAGAGAAAAGGCTAAGAGAACAGCATCTTTGCTTTTTACGCAGAAGTGTTCTGGGCAACACTTTGTTTGCACCAAATTGTGTACTAATACAATTCAGCCTTTTCACTGCGTCATTCTTGATAAGACAACCATGAAATTCTATCGTACCAGCATTTTATCAACCTAGCAAAAATAAAAACTTACATGTTGCTAAATATCATGATATGCTTAGAAATCCTCTCGAACTTATTTTTCTAACAATTTCACATTGAACCATTCCAAAAAAGATTCTAGAAATATTTGAGAAATATTCTATTCAATTCAATTTGCACTCACACTTAAATATTCGAATTCACTTAGCACTCAAAATTTTGCTATTCGCACAGCTCTACAATTTCTACACATGGGTAATGATAAGTGCCAAAAGCACCAGTGAGTTGTGGATGCCGTCATAATACTGTGCATCCCACAAAAAATCAAGCTGCTCACATCTTGTGCACTGGCGAGATGCGTGGGCTTTGGTCAGGAGCCTTACGCAAGGAGGAAGGAGTGACGGAAACGGGGCTGCTCTGTTGGGTCGCGTCGGATGCCAGGTCCTCCTGGCTTGAGCACTGGCTGTTGGTACGGGATCGAGCACTGCACATGGAAAAGCAATAAATGTCTGTCAGAAAAGAATCCGACCTTATCGTTTTTTTGCGAGCACCCGACTGACCTCTTAATAAAGTTTTTCCATACCACACCATATCTGATGGATTTAAAACAAGCGCGCTTGCATCAACCGACCTTAAACCGTCGCGTGCATGCGTGAATTTTTTCTCGGCTGCCAATAGCATCAGTCCCTGGAATGCAGCGTTTGAGTGGCATAGTGCGCAATGCTCTTGTCGGTTTTTCATAGCAAGAAAAATGAAAGAGTGACTAGAGCTGCGCTACAGCATCAAATTTTGCCAGAAACTGGGTGACAACCAAGTAGAAACCATTGGGAAGATCAAGACGGGTTTTGGAGATAAAGCTATAAGCCGCACACAGATCAAAGACAGCCGCACATCGGCGGAGAGCGAGTGACACTTCAGTCAGCCATCAACATGCCGAAATGACCAGTCATTGCCAAAGTGAACGTTGTGGTGATGACTACCTGGAAAATTGCAGAAAAGGTGGGCATCAGCACTTTATTTGCGCATTCCATTATGACAGAAAATTTGTCCATGAAGAGATTTGCGGCGAAATTCGTGAAGTCTCACAAGACATGCTGGATTTCACAAGCAGTGACCCCAACTTCATGAACACCATTATCACTAGTGACGAGTCTTGCGTGCACGGGTACAACCTGGAAACCAAATCCCAATCATCACAGTGGAGGCATTCCACGTCACCCAGACCAAAGAAAGCCCGCCAAGTGAGCAGCAATGTCAAAGTGATGCTGAGTGCTTTTTTTGACTCCTGTGGTACGAGTACGCAACGCAGGGTTAAACAATCACCAAAGAGTACTACAGAGATGTCCTCCGTCGTGCATGTGATGCTGTACGGTGCAAAAGGCCTGAAATGTGGTCAACAGGAAATGGGCGCATTCTTCACAACAATGCTCCCACGCACTCCTCACACTTGGTTCAGACTTCTTCGGCGAAAAGTCAGACTACTGTAGTTCAAGAGGCTCTTTACTCTCCTGATGTGGCCCCCTGCGACTTCTGGCTGTTTCCCAAACTCAAGAGGATATTGAAAGGAGAGTGATTTTAGACGAGGGAAGACATTATGGCTGCAACGACAGCTGAGCTAAGCTCCATTCTGAAAGAGTGCTTGAACATATTTTAACGCAGTGCACGACTCAAGTACTATCACCAACTGGCCCAGTTTTCAGTCCTTTTGCATTCCAAAAGAGGCCTTCACAGAATGATTCCAACAATGGCAGTACTATTGAAAGAAGTGTATAGAGTCCCAAGGGGACTACTTTGAGGGAGATTAGGTTTCCAACGCTCGAATTAAGCCAGTTTTCTTTCTTTCACCAAAGGTCAGATACTTTTCTAACAGACTTCGTACATGCAGAGTACGTAAAAGTTTTACATTTACCACCTTCATACAAGCATTAGCAGTGGCAAGTTGAAGTAGTTCAAAGTGATTATAGTATACCCAATGTTACAGGTCATCCAGGTCCTCTTTTCATCTACATAGTACCATACCAAGATAGCACAAAGCATACAACAAATAAATTGTAACCTCAGAGTTCCTCACAGTGCGATACATCCATAGTGCGTGAAATAATTGTACTGTAAGAACATAGAGCAAAAGCACAAACAAAGCTGAAGGGATACCTTGCCCAAATGACTGAAGATCATGATGATACATAATTTTTGCATTCATAAATTTCTTGATAAAATGTGCACCTAGTATTGCAGATGGCAGACATGCTCTCGTGCTTCGGAACATTAAATTTTCCAGTGTAATATTTCCCTCACAGCCATAAGATGGTCAAGTCACCAAGCCCTTCTGCAGTAAGCTCTCTTACCTTGTGAACATACACGGACGGAGACATGACTTATATTGAAGGTTACTGCGTCTTTATGGTAAAACACAAGTGACTATGAAGAACTTTGTGCCTCGTGACTGGTTTCAACAAACATACACATCTTTGTTACAAGCCCTCGCTTTCTTGTCTGTTAGGTGTCACTAATATTACGTCTAGCAAAGAAAAACTACCCCTTAAAATTCCTTTTCTATCCTTCTTACAATAAGCAACTAACACAATCACCACTGGTGAACATCTTGCAGTGCCTTTTCAGCTCTTTGCATTGCTTTTGAATTGACTTCAAAAGAAAGAAGCCAACAGTGCGCATCAAAAAAATTTGAAGAGAACATCACAAAAGTATTTCAGGTGGGAGCTGAGCTAAGAGCAATAATATGGAAGACATGCAAAGCTAGGCCAAAATCCACAAGTCCCACCTTCCAAGAAGTTGACTGATCTCGAAATCAAAGATGTGCTCCTTGAGGTGCGTGAAAATTTGGGATGCTTTGGGTGATCCAGGAAGGATTTCCTCCAGTGACTGCTGAGCAACCAGGGCCTTCTGGGAGAGGCGGTGAAGTGTGCCACGCTTCAACACGGGTGACCCTGCGGAGTTGAATGAATACACTTGCAAATTGTCTCAAGAACAGGCTAGTAGCAATGCAGATAACAACGCTTGTGACAGCAGTCAAAGCTGCTTTGTGCAGTTGCCCGTGTTTACATTTGCTTTCAGTGTAACTCACACATCCTATCAGGCTCGAATCCCTTACTACGATTGAATGTGCACACTTTTTCAACACCGTGGCTGCACTATAGTGACGGAATGAACGCTGAAGAAACAGTAGCTTCAGCAGCACTTCCTGTCCTACCACCGCTAATCACATCAAGATTCTCTTTCACTCTAAAAATCTCTCGTTTGTCAAAAGGAAACTTGGAATATGGCTTTTCTGACTGGCTTAGTAAGTATCTTTATTCAGAGCAATTGAAATCATTATTAAAAACCACAAAGAACTAACAGTGCTACATTTTAAATACAAATCACATACTACTGATATTTACTACACACAATTGTATACTGTCAAAAGCAGCTCACCAGAAAAGGGATAGTTTTGTGACAAAAAAAAAAGAACTAGACAACACAAACCACTGGGGAAGAAATAGGCAAAAAAAAAAGATCGCCCTTAGACGCTCTTTCTTTTCGCCTCTTTCCTCCCCGGTAGTTTGCGTCGTCTAGTTTCCTTGTAACATGCGTCAACTATCCCAACAACAAGCTTTAGCTAAGAATAGTTCTGGCATTAGAAATAAAGCGAAATTCCTTCTAAATAAAGAATGGAGAAGTCTTTAAGATTAATTTGATTTGATTGATTGATATGTGGGGTTTAACGTCCCAAAACCACTACATGATTATGAGAGACGCCGTAGTGGAGGGCTCCGGAAATTTAGACCACCTGGGGTTCTTTAACGTGCACCCAAATCTGAGCACACGGGCCTACAACATTTCCGCCTCTATTTAAGATTAATTTGAATGCCTCAAAAATTAAACTAACAGGCCACTATTTTTCATTAAATTTAAGATTAATTTGAATGCCTCAAAAATTAAACTAACAGGCCCCTATTTTTCATTAAAAAAACAGCCCGATATGAGCAAATATGACATTAACTCTTTCATTACCACGCGAAAATGATTGTTTTTCATATGTCTCGGCAAGATCGTTTTTACCAGTTGGAAAAGTACTCCAGCACACATTGTAGCATTCCAAACTTTGCACAACGAAATGCTCTTTTGAAAAAATAGTACGTTGTAGGGCAACAAAAATATTTTAGAATGAATAAAAATGTGATAAGTGTAGAATTCTTGGTCACATTCTGGTAAAGTGTTATAAAAAATACTATATATGCAAAAATATTCAAAACAAAAGAATTCACAATATACATTTTGTAGATAAATGACCGAGGAACAGTATAAAAAATTTAATGTTGTACAAAAACGTTTCTCGTCACATAGACAAAGAAAATCAGAACTGAGGTGCTGCTTCGTTGCTCGTGCTATGCGATGAAGCATTGCATAGTTTTTCGTAAGACACAAGTGTACCCGTACAATTTTTCTCAGTAAATTTTTATTGTGTTGTGATAAGTCTCCTGGTGTTCTAATATTTGAAATGAACAGATTTTATTTCTGGAGAGATACAGAAAAACGAAGCGAAGCTAAAGGCCATTCGGCCTGACGAGGCTTCGCTACGTGAAAAAAGTTCAGCAAACAGTGCTACATTGAATAATAATTATCACAATAAAAGGAGCAGCATAATAACAGAAACACAAAAATAGCATAAAAGCAAAAATAGGTGACATATAAGTACAAAAAATAGGCTGCATAGACACACAGAATCAGACATCGAGGCTCTTTTCATTACATATCCAAAAAAAACACATACATATTGATATATTCATATAATACACTCACATATTCATACATACATCTGCCCATACGTACGTACATGCTACTGTATATACACGCGTTTTGTACCTAAAGCTGAGAGTATATGTGGAACCTAGCCAGAAGTTTATTGGAAATATGATGTTTACAATACTCATTAATGAGGAGATGTTTTATGTGATATTTGAATTGCGTTAATGAGAGGTTAAAATTTAATTGTTCACATAAATGATTTATAAGCTGTGTGCCCTGGTATGCAATTAGGGCTCTACCATATCCAGTCCTAGTAGCAGGAACGCAAATTTGTTGCCTACGGAGCGAGTATTTGAGTGCGCCTTCCGGTGCCGTAATAGTGTGGAGTTTATTTTTATAAATGTAAAGTAATAGGTTATATTCATACACCTGTCTTGCTTTGAGTATACCATGTTTTGTGAATAATGGACCGCTAGGAATCTCCCTTGGGTTGCCATAATAATCATCGATTAGGCGGAGAACTTTTTTCTGCAAGATTTCTAGTTTATTTGAATTCTTCTCACTTGTAGTGCCCCATACTAGCATACTATAATCTAAATGCGAATAAAAAAGAGTGTAGCATATCTTTTTTTAGCCAAATTGGTATAAGTGGATTTATTTTAAATATACACCCAACAGTCTTACTTAGTTCGGATGCGAGACTATCAACATGAGTATTATAGATGGATACCCGTGATGTGAATAATTCTTCTATAAATGAGATATCGAATGAACTTCGCTACTTCATCTAGCATTACCTCTTTCCATGAACCACCTTACAACGCATTGATTGGCGTTACAATATATGCATCCAAGCATATTTCTTTGCATTTTCATGCATATCATATAAAAAAAAACAATATCGCACGCAATTCTAAAACGTTTCGCATTGCTCAGTAGTTAGGGCCAAGATGTGCTCCAGAGGCCATTTTGTTGTTAGGGGAAGCTCTGCAGCCAGTGCCAGCACACTGCGCCCCAGCGAGGTGTGGACCACGCACGTAACCAGAGTAGCTATAAGATTGTGCGCAAAGGTCAGAAGCTATATGCACTTGCGGTGGAGGAAACAACTTAAGGATGTAAACAGAACGAACCCATGAATGGCTGTGGATGTATCGGGCTGACGCAAAACATTGTCGCCATAAAACTTGAAGCTGAGGTGCAGTCATCCTCGAATACCAAGCTCATCGTCACTCAATTCAGGTGGGGTTGCAAGACAATTTCAAGCAGCGCATGTGTTTTTCAGTGCTGATGTGCACCAATGTGCACGTGACGACGACACCATAGGAGTGACTAGTGATACTAGATGCGACCCTGAGTCTGATATACAGATGCAAGCAAAACCAAAGCTGCTGAAAACTGCCATAAAAGGCCACCTCAACACTTTCAACATGCAACGGGCCCTCGCAAAAATTTTTTGTAGAACAAATTTTTTCTGACTCCTAGAAACAGCTTTCTATTGAATATATGGCACAAATTTCTGGCCATCATTACTGCTCAACATAGTAAAATTGCAAAGCTGACCCTTTAATTCGATATTTGGCTTGCAAAGGTTCTTTTCATCACAAAACTTTGATGTCACTGTACCATAATCCTGAGAGGCACGCACTTCTGTCAAGTTCGCCAGCCTAGTGCACTTTTCCAACAATACATGCAGATTGGTTCGTGCAAAGGTCTGTCAAAAATCACTATATTGCCGAAATGAGCAAATTCAAATTGATTCTGAAAGTTGAGTGGTTGAACTACCTACTAAAAAGTGCTGGGTGAATGAGAAATAAATTTAACATGCAAAAATCGATGATCTAAAAGCGTCGATCACCGGTGGTCCATTTGGATAGGCGTGGTAACAAAAGAGTTAAAGTAAATACCTGAAGCCTTCAGCATCACTGCACCCTTCACATATTCTGACAAAAGCATGATAGCTAAGTGAGATGGAAACTGTCCAACAGAAGAAAACGTACTAGATTGCCTCACCTGGTTTTTCAGAGTCAGCACTGGTGTCAGCTTCAAGAGAGTTGAGGTCAATCAGGTCAAGTGTGGGCATGGTAGCACGATTTGCGCAATTGGACTCTGAAATGGGCTCTTTGATTAGAAGGCTGAGGACGCACTCTTGCCACCCTGCCTGTGCTGCAAGCTGTGGTAGCAGCACAGCACTGTCAGTCAGCACTGCAAGAAGCTGTAAGGACACAGAAAACGACATCAGATATGTCCACACAGTTATGATACCGAAAATTGCCATTTCATTTGGCAAGAAACATAAAAGCACATAAGCAGGTTGTAACATTATTGTGCATGTTGCAAGACAAGCTTTCGTGAAGAAAATGTATACCCTCCTGTAAATTTCCCGACAAACACTACAAAGCAACATTTACCACAGCATACAATGCAGCAAACAACATGCAAACGGCAGAATGCATTCATTGTTAGGAACAAAAGCCTAGCATGCAGGGTAAACCATGGAGCCAATGTTGAATTTAACAATTAAAAAGAGTGATGTGGGCAACGTCTTTTCTGTAGCATAAACTTGAATAGCCCCAGTTCCAAACTTTTACATTTAAAGCACAGCCATGTAACCACACTCATGCGCACAAGTAAAATAACAATAAAATAAGAGTCCTTTGCCAGGAGCTCAATATTTAGCAGACACATTTCGCATGCAAGCTGTACATTATTCAAAAGACACTTGACCAAATAACGAGGTAAAACATCCTAAGAAGCTGTCCCTGCAACAGTTACCTTCTTTGCAGCATAGAACTTGAGTTCAATATCCATGTTCTTGATAAGATTCAGCACAGCAAGAAAGCCAGGAAATGCTTGGGAAATATCTAGAAGGTACAGATATTGAATTAAAAAACATTAACATAGGTTCTTGCGGTCAAATTAAAGGAGAACTGAAGACAAAAGATGTTAGGTTATCCCAGAGTGACTGAGTACATAGTATTTGGATTTATGAATAGGTCTGCCTTACTATAAACAGAGTCCTTCAATGCTTTTCTGGTCACGAAACTCCGCCCGAAGGTTGCTATAGGGACAAAATCTGTCGCTAGAGGCGCCACCCGTCGTATGGGGGCCACAAGCCGCCGCCACTGCTGGGCTTGTATGCACATTGCGGCCGACGTTTCGACGCGATTATGTGCGTGCTGTTCTTCCTGTTACCTTTTTTTTAAACCTCTCTGAACGCATCAATGCCACCAGATAAATAAGTTGAAATGGGATCCAGTGTCGACGACGAATGAGAGCTGTTTACTTTGGAACGCACGCGTAGTTTACTTGGAAGTGCGGGCCCCCCTTATAAACAGCAGCGTATTAAAAGTGTTCTCACATCGCGCGACAACGCATTGTGTCAATAATTGTCTCATAGCCCAATTATATGCATACTTACGATGCCTCGAAGCAGTACTTGCGAGCTATAGTTCGCAAGTGTTGAAAGACGATGCTTATGCTCCATGCTCTTGATGCGAGCAGCTACTGCTTGATCTGCTCGACAACATGTTTGTATTTGCGCCCGGCCAAAGGGCGATTATGTTTATGCGGTAGGTGAGCTTTATATTCTTGTAGGGCTGCTAATAGGGGGAGGAAGGTGAACGAAATGAAACACGACTGGGTAGTACAGGAGCAATCACATTGGTTTATATCCGGCTCGCCTCTCGCGCGCTACTACCCAAGTATTCAAATGAACTGAATGGTTGAGCCAGAAGTTTTATTCCAGACCTTTCAATTGAGTTTACACCCAAATGCGCAGTTGTTTTGGACACACGTTTGTGAGTGCCGATTGCTTTTTTGACGCGGGGACTTTCGATGTTGAGGGCTTTCGCGACCGCTCTAAACGTGCCCAACATTCGATTGATCACTTCTTTCCACGCAGTTTACACGGGACACCCGCCGCTTGACGTTTCCTTATGTTTACTGTTTAGGGCATTATTATTTACCGGCCGACAACCCATGATTTCTCCGGGAACGGAAGTACAGCAGCCTAATCTGGAAGTTCCTTTTGATGCCAGTGCTAGCCGCTTGGCCGCCTCTGCCACTACCGAGGTACCTCATCACACATTTGTTTTTATTTTTTGGGTGGGAGGGGGGGAAGGGCGGTTATGATTTAAGGCATGCAATAAATCTTAAATTTGGTGCTATTGATACGCCGCCTAGTAGTCAGGTGTGTACTTATGAATGGGAGATTCACATATGGTGCATGTAATGGGGAGAAAGTTGGAAAACATTTATTTACACAAAACACACTGAGAACAACACTTAGGAGAAGAAAAGCACTAGAAACTATTGCAGCTGTTCTGAGCAATGTTACACAATCTGTGACTCTACTGTACAATGTGTATTTCGTTTCATTAACAGCTGCACTCTGCCTTAGCTCACTGCCTCAAATAAACTGTATTTGAATATACACTATTTACACTATATGCAGATAAATATGCATAGTACGAAAATATTACAGTGTAATGTATACAAGATATACAACACTATATACAAATGGGAAGGCGTGCTCACATACACAGCCATTATGCTTAACACTGTGGCTTCCGCCCACCACTTGCAGGGCATGAACTGCGCACAGTTGCCTGCGAGGCTTTGTTTTACTCTCGAGTGAAGAAATGTAATCTACATCTCAAAAAAAAAAAAAGTGTACAACCTCAGCTGTTGTCCCTAAAAAGTGCAACAGACAACCTACACTTGCTGACGCTGTGCGGCTGTCGAGCAAAATGCCCTCAACAATCCTCGCGTACACGTCACCGCATGCGTGAACGCGGTTTCTGCTTTGTCAGGTACGCCGGGAGCCCGTCAAAAATTCTTGGAACGGCGTTCGTGCGAAGCCTCGGTCTCTCTCGCTGAAGCGACACGACCAACCCGTTCACGATGTGCTCGTCGGTTCTCACAACGTCGCTAGCATCAAAATGCTTTTCGCACACTCAAACGTTCTTACTTTCGAAGCTGAAACCGCCAGCTTCCAACCGCGGTATAGCTCGCTTCCATTTCTCTCGGAGTTCGGCGCTACTTGGGAAACAGAAGAGCGACGCCTTTTCTTTGTTGCTTCGGTATCCGGAGCTGCAACCCGTCACACAGCACGCCTTAGACATTGTTCATTCGAATTTTCATGCCGTCCACCTTGAGCACGGTGCACTGGCACATGAAGTTCGCGTTTCGCTGATGCAGAAACCGCGAGCTGCCACCACACAACGCCTTTGGGATGCCGCCGCGGCCAGTGCGTTCCGCCGGGCGCAGCGGGGCGATGGCCCCCCTAGGACGGCTTGCGCCGCATAGCGGCCGCTCTTGGCACCATATCAAGCTCTCCCATAGAGTGACGGAGAAATTTCGTGACCAGAACGGTATTAAGGGACTGTGCTATAAACAAAAACTTGATAATTCAGATACAGGTAACCACATGTGTAGCGGCGTTACCTCGCAATGTTCCACCACAGTTTCCCTAAAATGTTTTCGCAGTTTTGTTAGCACACGTTCAGTGTCAGCTGAGTGATTAAAATAAAAAAGGCATTAAAAGGTATGCAAAGACTGTGGGGATGTGAGGCACACTCGAAGCTACTGCACGGGCATTTCGCTGTTCTGCTGGCCCTTTTCCCTCCCATGCTCTCGTGACAGCAAGTGGCGAATTCTTCAGTTTTCATGTTGGTGCTGCGCGTGGCCTCTTGCCGCTAAAGTTGGCGAGACCAGATCATGTACGCTTGACTACGGTGAGTATCATGGTTACCACAAGATCGAATCTGGAAACTTGATTTAGCCAAGAAATTTTAGAAGTAAAGGTCAACTTCTATTTTCTCTTTTAGCTGTACCGGAACACACCAGAGCTACGTGTTATATTCTATAAAGTAGAATAGTAATGTTACGAAGCAGCCATTGCTCGTCAGACACCCTTACCTGACATGAGTATCAAGTTGACAAGCTCCCTGGCAACTTCACTAGTCACTTCATTAGGTGATAGCAAGCCAGTTAATGATGAAAATCCTACTTCAGCCAACCGTAGCCGTGACTTAGACTTCTCATAAACTCTGTCGGACCTGAGTAGTGCTTGAATCACCTGAAATGCAAGTTGAGGTAGAAGTTCAAGGCAGCCATGAGCAGACATTTGTCATACATGATATTACGGTATGTAAGGTATATCCTCACTTAAAACCCATTTTATCTGAAAAACAAGACAAAATATTCTGAAAAAAAAAAATGTTTCATTCTCATAAAGCTTCATCAATTTGTGTACTAGATAAGGCTAAGTTAAGCAGAAACTAAAGAAAAAAGAAGCAAAACACACTTATTATGAAAAGGTTTACTGATGGAGCACAAAAAGTAATCAATCAGTAAACCTTTTAACTATGAATTACTACTGCACAAGCTTACAGTTAGGTAATGTACTAATCATATAGGCAAATGCGTACAATTATAAAAAAGCCCACAAGTACAAGTTTAAGGGCGAGTGCACTGCTTAGAAAATTTCTTTTTGATGCTCGTTCTTCAAAAAAAAAAAGATTATTAAGATTTCTCCCAATAACTGTTTCATACAGCCCGCCGTGGTGGTCTAGTGGCTAAGTTACTCGGCTGCTGACCCGCAGGTCGCGGGTTCAATTCCCGGCTGCGGCGGCTGCATTTCCGATGGAGGCGGAAATGTTGTAGGCCCGTGTACTCAGACTTGGGTGCACGTTAAAGAACCCCAGGTGGTCAAAATTTCCGGAGCCCTCCACTACGGCGTCTCTCATAATCAAAAGGTGGTTTTGGGACGTTAAACCCCACAAATCAATCAACTGTTTCATACAAACTTATTGTTTTAAACACAGTAGTAAAAAAATCTGCAGGGTAGATCTGCACGCACATCTTCCACCAAACTGCTCATTGTTATACCCCAAAAGATGGCATGAGTTCATAACATAGACGACCTATAAATACTATAATTTGCACAAATGCACGCACAACATATATTTTGTACAAACATGCATGCAGTATTAAATACAAACATCAAAACACTTGAAAATGAATGAACTGCGAATCTATATAGCTTCTATAAAGCTGCCTACAGAAAGAACATCTTGGTTGACACAGCGCACATGAGACGGTGACGAAGAAATAGAGCACAGACATGCGCTAACTCGCAACTTAATTTATTTGGGAAAGAACAGCTGATATATAAAGGAAGTGCGACCTGACATAAAAAGCGAAAAACCTCTTTTCTTTGTCGTCATTTGGTGTGCACTGTATCAACCAAGATGAACGCATACCAACTCGCTCAAGCTTCCATTCTTAAGAAAGCAACATCATCACACATCAAGAATGACCAGAAATTCAAACACCTTGTCTATCGCCTGCACAGATGATGTTACAACATTCAGCACTAAGATAGCTGACACCAGCATTAAATAAGGAATGTGACAAAGGCTGTACAAACAATGACACCAATATAGTTGAAAAGAAACACTACTCAGGCATTCAGATGAAACTCGATCCATTTCATCAGGCCTTGGCAACACAACTTTATTTTCAGCTTTGGTCAATTGAAGAAGATAAATGATTGACAAGAAGATTACATCTTGTACACAACAGCCAGAAAGAATGACAATGTTCACTTCTCACCTTTAGAACTTTAACCTTGGTGCAACTGGAGAACTCTCTGTTGAGTAGAATGCAGTAAAACAACTCAGCACAGTTGGGCTCGTACAGTAAAAGCACAAGCTGGTCTTTTGTAGATGGGCTTTCAAGTAGATGTAACAATATTTCAATCATCTCCTTCGCCTGTAAAGTCAACAGAGCCTATTTTAACTAATACCCTCAGCTGCCAGCTTTTATCCTCAAGTTTTCTGCTATTATTGCACCAGCAATTATATATATATGGACTCTCTCGACTGATCTTTGCCACCGGCGTCATGCCCTGTATGTGTGTGTGTGTGTATGCATGCATGTGTGCATGTATGTGTATATATAAGACACAAAAAAAATTATTTAAAAAAATATTTTCCGGCAGGCAGAATCAAATGGGCAACCTCTCGCTCAGCAGCACGTGGTATTAGCCACTGAGCCATGAAAGCCCATGTTCTCTGCCGTAGTAACAGTAAGCTGTTTTCATAAACCATTAACCGTTGGCGGTATGCTGTTCTCAGAAAGAATAGCATATTCTCAGCTTTTCCAGTGAGATGGAGCAAAGGCTGTGCTTAGCGGCCCAGTCATGTTCTTTTTCCTACGATCTGCGGTCGCCTGTGTGCACGTGTGCTTATCTCGCAGTGAGGGAGAATGGTACGTCTTGGGCTTTCATGGGAACCATTGCATTGTACATGTTACAGAGCACATGAAGGACACTTCACTCACTGCAGTCTCTTCGTTTGCGAAAAGAATGCACTTTTCAAACAGATCAAAGTGACAACTGTGACAATAGTTAGTTTGCACTCATCCATGTATATACGTGTGCGCATATTTGTCTTGTGCATCCTTTGTGTTTGAGCAGCATGTTTAGTGTTGAGCAGTGAACGTTGTCAGCTCGTGCTTGTCCTGTGTGTGTTCTTTTTATGTGTTCTTTTTGTATGTTCTTTTTACAGTGTCACAACAAGGCTCCCATGCGGAATCGTACTTGTCCGCCACCGGTGTCTATAACCACTATCGCATGAGATAAGAAAAAAAAGCATAGTAAATAAATACACCAAGGATAGAGCGGAATTCGAACGCGGGTCCCCTGCCAGCCCAGTATTCTATCAGAGCCACACCGGTGCTTGAAACTCCGTTGCAAACTTGCCTTAAGCAGGTTTGATATCAGGAAAGGTATCATGCTAGCATGAGTAATAAAGCATTTTAGAACTGCAAAGGAACAATCAGACATCACACAATGCAAATTGCATAACGATTTGGTCGCCCAATGCTCTAACCCATTACAAAAGCTAGCTCTTGATTTTGGTCGCCCAATGCTCTAACCCATTACAAAAGCTAGCTCTTGATCACCTATCGACTGCAGTGCATACCCACTTGAGGCATAAGTCATCATCATCAGTAATGCTCTAACCAATTACAAAAGCTTGTTCTTGATCACCAATTGACAGCAGCGCATACCCACTTGAGGCATAATTCATCATCATCAGCCACTGCATAAAAACTCTGCACAGAATTCCTTGCAAGTGTGTAGCTGATACCACACTTCTCCAAAGAATGACAAAGAATACCATAGTGAATGCAGGCCTACTACACAAAAATTATGATTATTTGTGGCTTAGTTTTACCCAGCAAGTGCGCTTATAGCAGTTGCCCAAAAAGTGTTTAAGAGAGGCTTTAAAAGGTTGCTCTTCAAGCTTCTTTCGCTATGACTCTGCTGTGTGTTCGGTGCAGGCTTCGAGGTTTTTTTCTCGAGCAGCATGCAGCACGTTTCAGTCTGGTAGCCGTTCTTCACGAGACATTCCATACTGTTATCCCATTCATTGCTTCGCCCTTGCAGCAAATCTGTGACCTTCTTTCATTGATGCTTTCAACAAAACTAGAAGCAGGTCCTGTGACAGCCACACTAATCTCTTTCTCTTCAAATAAGCAAAAGCTCTCCCTGCAGTTTATAAACTTCCATTCTTCCACTTAGTGCACTAATAAAAAAAAAAAGATTTCGCACCTACAGTACTGTAATACCAGTTTCCACATACCTCCCAAAAATATTCATGCCATCACCAATATACTCTGCTCTTCGGCCCTATGCCTCACACAGCATAGAATTTACAGCTGGGTACTAAAATATTAATAATGCATCAGAATATAAAAAGAAAACAGCTCGGCATAAGCAATTATGCATTGCAATGATACGAGTACCTGTGTTTTTTTTCATGGCATGACATTATGTGCTTGTTATGTTAACGATTGTAATAACCATATACATATCCTTGATTTCATCATATTCATCTGTTCAGTACCTTCCAGGGCCTTTCTTTCACCTCAAATAAATGCTGACCAAGCGCTCTGTCTTTTAACAGTAAAGAATTCTTAATTTCTGCAAAGGTAAATATCATGGCCTCGTACATTCAGAATCGAACCCAGTCCAGCGGGCAATTATTGATTGATTGATTGATTGATGCTATGTAGCGTTTCTTGGCACAAGGGCCATGTGATGGCCAAAGAGTGCCAATCGATTGATTGATTGACCAATTGAAAGGTACCAAATCAACATGACATTATTGAGGAACATCGTACCAAACAACTGCCTATCAAACTAAAAATGAATTAGAATGCACCGTAGTGTAAGCTTAAAGAGACACTAAAGGCAACTATTAAGTCGGCGTTGACTGTTGAAATGGCCGCCCAGAAACCCCGTAGTGTTACTTTTGTGCCAAGGAAGGGCCTATTTTGAAATAAAATCAAGTTTTAGTGGTCCGCATCGAGTTAGCCCAATTCGAATTTCCCGCCTCAAGAAGCGGACCGACCAGACCAACTCACGTTACTGTTGCCGGGCAAAGTTGGGACCACTCACGCCATTCCCCATAGTAATGTCCGGCGGTTCTTTTTTCCATGAATCATACAGAAACGAACAAGCAGCATTTTATTGCGTCTCTTGATGCAAGGGAGGTTTTTTATTTATTGCAGTTAGATCGATTACTAGTGATTAATAGAAGGCGGTTCATCTGATGTCATCGGGATCATTTTGAAAATGTCCTACTGTGGCGCTTGTGTTCTTGTGCATTTACCTTAATTTTTCGGTAAGTAGGGCACTGCTGTTGATAATATTGTCGTTTTAGATGTTGTCATACATTGAGCTTTTACTCTGACGTAAATTTTTATTTGACTTTGGTGTCCCTTTAACACATAACCTCACCCTCAATACAAAAATGCTTTTCATATCAAGGAGCAAAAGTTTCCTTATTATGAAAATGCCTACAGGCGATGCAAAACTTTTCCAGAGATAAGCTAAACAAGCTAAGCAAGCTAAGCAAGCTAAGCATGTTATAACGTGGCTTGCCTTCTAAACTTTCCAATGCCAGTACAATTGTGTGGCAGAACACGGACATTACCCATGCAAACAGAAACTCACTAGTTCTTCTTTTCTCTGCGATAGCATGTAAGACACAACTGCATTGACATCTTGAATGCTGACATCACGCATCATGTAGAATTTGACCAGAGAGAGAACGGCCATTCGGATTGTCTTGACATCGTCAGACGTGAGCAGGCTGCAATCACTGTCAACCAAGAGAAAAAAAAAAAAAACAAAGCATCAAAAACAAGAACAGTTTTTATTTTATATAAGAAATTTTTACTTGTCTATATTTTTCGCATACAGAAAAGACTAATGCACCCATGCAAGAGAAACTGAAAACTAATTGATTTGAAACATATTTTTAAAGAATAAAGATTGTGGGTGTTTGAACATACTTAAAGGAAATATAGCCAGCACACACAAGCTGTGAATCTGTTTCAAAAGGATATTTAAAGTACACTAATTGGTTTCTAGCTTTATAGAAGGCATCACAGTCGTCACAATCAACTAGCCATCAGTCAAAATGTTTCTCTGCTACTCAGGCATTTCATTTTTGAGCAACAATGTTATTGAGAATGGCTAAAATATCAAGAGCAAGAACTAACCTGTAAAACATTTGCACCATGTCTAGCATAAACCTAGGTCCATACTTCTTCCTGAAGTATTTTCGATCCTCCTTGATAATAGTGGTTAGATATTGAATGTGCCCTGCGGAGAACAGTGCACATATAACATCCAGCAGCACAGGCAATGACTGATCAACACGCCCTGTCTAAATGCATTGTTTGATGACAACAATAGCAGCAAAGGGCAGTTGTACAATATAAATGTCAACAAAATAATTATAGAAAAGACTTAGTCTCAAAACTCTAATTAGGCTAAGAGGAATGCTGTACTGAAAGGCTCTTGATTGAACCTGTACGACATTGCGTTACCTTTAGGTAATACTAGTAGATATACTTGTCTTGAAACAATACATGACTGCTATTACATCTACAAGGCACCTTACATTGGGTCCCAATACCACCGATAACGTGCTACCAATGTAGTAAGGTTGCTATTTTCAAGTTTCCCTAAAAAGAGTGGTGAGTGATTGCTTTTACTACACAAAGACCCACCGTAGTATATTGTGAGTGTTCAACATCAATTTACGTCTGCCTTGCATTTTGTTATTACCACAGATTCCACCGAGGTCTTCCAATTTGGAGCAATTTTCGGAGCAGCAAAATTTTCATTCTGGAGCACTTTGGAGAAGCAAAATTTTCTATTTTGGAACCATCTAGAGCAGCTAACTTTAAATCCTGGAGGAGAAGAAAGTTTCATTTACATTCAGGAACATAAAAAAATATTCTGAGGCTATCGTGAAGAGCTATAAACATTTAGATTCACTAAAAATTTCATGAAGCCAATAATCTTAAAAGCACTCCCTATTTACAGTTGATGATGCAAGAATAATGGCATCCTGCTCTTGAGCATTTTGGAAAAACTTGTTCAGTGATTATTTTCGTAGCAAATAAAGAGAATAATGATTGAATGAAATTTTTGTGCTTCATAAAATAACAAAATAAATACACCTATGTGGTTATCAGCAGACATGGTCTGTGTTCTTTTCCTTCGTCCTCGTCTCGTGTGCGCTGTTCAGCCAAGATGAACCCATACCAACTCGCTCAAGCTTCCATTCTCATGGTAGACAAATGCTGTGACGTACAAGGCTAAGGAATGACACAGTCGCAAGCACGTTTGCCTAAGAAGACTTCAAGAATAAAAAAGGTTCTTTTTCTTCACGACTGATTAGACTGCTGGGCATAACATGACGTCATTTAGCTAGTCTAAGAAAGCCAACCTCCTCCGGCCCTCATCTTTCTGTGCTGAAACTACCCGACTAAACAAACTTCATTTTCCTGATGCAGCAATATTTTATGAGGCTCGGGTGTTTCGTCTATACTCCAAAAACCCCCTACCGTGTCCTCTACAAAGCAGTGCATAAAAAAAATCTCACAGGGTACCTTATGCATACGCCTAAGACAACACGAAGGCAAGATCCATTTTGTTTTTAATGGGACGGGATAGCAATTATATGAACATTCCCGACTGGTTTTTGCCATTGCCAGGGGTGTAACAAAAAATTTAAACAATCATTTGGGGGGGGGGGGGGGGCAGGCTAAAGGTCATTTTGCGTTATATATGCCATGACAAAAAAATGCTTTGTGTAATGTTCCAATCAATAACATCCCTAGGCGCATCGTGTTTTACACATAGGTAAAAGCGCGCAAAAAGGGGCGACGAACGCAGCTGAAGCGGAGATAAGAAGAGGCGACTTATCTCCTTTGCACTGAGGGCAAATGCGATATCAACCCGTGTGCCAGGCCTCCCATCGATTGTTATTCAAGCAGAGAGGAATGCGCCGCTGTTGTATCCTGCAGTTTCAGTTTCAGTGTGTAGGTTGGCAACACTGTCCTTGTGCGTGAATATATTTGTGGAACGTCTAATAAAACGGCAGTATGTATGCAGCCACTACCCGGGGTGTGTCAGTCACATTACTCCTTCACTACAATGGCGACTGGTGTTTGAACCCCGTCTGATGGCTTTCGCTGGCATCGCCCCACCGATCCATTTCTTCCGACACAGGGTCGCCGTGTGCAGTCATGGTCCCGATGGCACTACATGTTCAAGGTCTGCCCGCTGGCTTCCAGTGCTTCAGAGTTCTCCCCAGAGCGACGCAAGGCTATTCTACTACATTCCTTGGGACCTGAAGGTCAACGTATTTTTAAGACCGTCTGTTTCGCAGGCGCCCGAAAACACAGAGGAGAAAGAAAAGACTGGAGCTACGCCCGACGTGTATGACTTCGCGGTAGCGACACTGGCTAAGCACTTCGATACCACCTGCAACCTGGTCGTTGAGCGCCACCGATTCCACCATCAAACTCATTCCCCAGGCGAGTCTATTGAAGAATACATGACAGCACTAACAGAGCTTGCCGCGAGGCGTTCATTTACGTCGCAAGAAGAGTCATTACGTGACCGGTTTGTTGCCGGTGTGTCCTCGCATCGTATTCGGGAACCTCTTCTGTTAGAAGGTTCCTCGCTTTCGTTCAGCAAGGCAGTCGCTCTCGCGAGTCAAATCGAGCAGGCAGCAGTCGAAATTAAGGAATTTTCTATTTCTGTGCAACCAGTATCAGCGCAGTCGGGCTCAAAAGATGGTTCATCGTCGCAGTCGCCGAATTCACGGCCGCGTGCTTGCACTTTCAGTTAACGCGATAAGGCACCTACATCTGGGAACTGCCCCTGTTTCAACAGCGCTGTCCATCGAATTCGCAGCAACACATGAATTCGTCGTACTGCTTCAGATGCGGTTCTAAGCAGCATCGCACTTCTTGAAAGCGCTGCTCAGCTAAAGAAAAAAAGTGCTTCTTTTGTGACCGTATCGGACATTTCGAAAATGTGTGCAAGCAGAAGCGGTCGCAGACACCTGTCCAAGAGGTTTCAGTAGATAGCCCGTTGCAGGATGAAACCGTAGAGGTTCTTGTGGTTCAACAGCCATTTACATCTGGAATTCACATGAATGCTCAAGTCGGGCCGGTCGCTATGAAGCTATTAGTCAATTCTGGCTCTACGGTTTCCATTCTTTCAGGCAAGGTGTTTGACCTACATTTCTGTGGCGTGCCGCATCTTCTTGTTCCGCGTGTGACGCTTCTGGATTGTTCTAAAAGACCGATTTCTGTTCGAGGCTGCTTTTTTTCTGAGGTCTTTTTCGAGAATCGCAGCGCACCACTTTTGTTTTATGTCGTGAAACGAGGTACTTCTCTCGTTGGCCTGGATGGTATTAAGGCTTTGAAGCTGCGCATTGAAGGGTTTGAGCTGCACTGTTTTCAAACCAGAATGGTACCTAACGCTGAAGTATCTTAGACATGTCCGATAGATTCACCCATACAGCTTCCATCAGCACTTCAGCAAAGGTTTTGCTCTCTGTTCACAAATTAGCTTGGTCTGGCAAAAGGTTTTCTTCATAAGATTAAGACACGTGCGGGTGTTCAGCCAGTAGCATGAAAACTACGCCAGCTTCCTTTAACGTTACAACCACACGTGTCTTCCGAACTGCAGCTTTTGAAAAGCTTGGACATCATTGAACGTATCAATGCGTCAGAATGGCTGTCCCCTTTTGTAGTCATTCGGAAAAAAGATGGAATTATTAGGCTCTGTGTAGATTTCCGTGAGCCTAACAGGGCCATCGTTCCTAACAGCTTTCTGCCGTCTCACATTGATGAATTGCTTCACGCCTTGGCGGGTGCCACGCACTTTTTGAAACTTGACTTTGTGTCTGCCTACCACCAAGTTCCCCTAGATCCGGAGAGTAGAGACTTGACAGCTTTTATTACACATGAAGGGCTCTACCGCTTCAAGCACATTTGTTTTGAGCTAGCCTCAGCACCTGCTGCTTTCCAGAGTATGATTTCTCGAATCCTTCGCAATTGTGCGGGTGTGTCCTCTTTTACATCGGCGATGTCATTATTTTTGGCAAATCGGCTGAGGAGCACCTGAAGAACTTGGAGGCAGTGTTACAGCGTATATAAGACGCAGGTCTGAAGCTCAACAGTAAATGTGCGTTTGCAGTTCAGGAGCTCAAATTCTTGGACCACAAGGTGACACCTTGCGGTATTTCGCCACTGTGGGGGAAAGTGAACGCGATTGTAGAAACCCCAGTTCCGAGAAAAGTCGCTGAACTTTGTTTCTTTCTTGGGTTGGTGGAATACTACACCGACATTATGCCACACTTGGCTGAGATGGTTAAACCAATGAGGGCTCTTCTTGGGAAAAGCGAAACGTTCACCTAGTCTGTCAAGGTGGATAACAATTTCCGCGCGGTAAAGGCAGTATTACTGTCAGATCTTGTCTTGCACATGTTTGATCCTGTGCTTCCAATTTTCATCTCAACTGATGCATCCGAATGTGGTCTGGGGGCAGTCCTCCAGCAGCACGCCGGTGATAATCTTCGTACTGTTGCTTTTGCATCACGTACGCTATCTCCGGCTGAACGAAAGTATGCAGTTGGCGAGAAGGAAACACTTGCATGCATTTGAGCATACGAGCATTGGCATACATACCTGTGGGGACGGAGCTTCACTACCCGAACAGACCATCAAGCACACATTTCACTTTTGTCTTCGCAAAGCTGAGGCCGAACCCACTTAGAATTGCACGTTGGTGCGCACGGCTACTACGGTACCATTTCGCGGTGGAGTACCAGAGAGGCTCGTCCAACACAGTAGCTGATGCTCTGTCACGGTTACCTGTTCATATGGCAGATAGAGAGCTGAATTTTGAGGAAGAAATTATTTCCATGGTTCAACCAACTTGCTTGACAAAAGAGCAGTTTTAAAAAGCGGTTCTAGCTGATGCCACTTTTCAAAAGGTAAAGGCCTTTGTAAATGGGTCTTGGCCATCACACAGAGACTTGCCGCAAGATCTCGAACCATACTTCAGAGTTCATGACGAATTGTCAGTAGTGAGCGAATTGGTGATGCGTGCAGAGAGGATTGTAGTTCTTTTATTTTTCGTGGCTCAACTTGTGGCAACAGCGCATGAAACGCACCAGGGTATTGCATGCACCAAGGCCAGGCTTAGGGAGCAATTTTAGGGGCCCCGCATGGACATTTACGTGGAAGAAGCAGTCCACAATTGCAGCATCAGTCAAACAGCAGATAAATCGGCAAAGAAGTCGCCTGCTCGGCTGCAACCTGTTGAGTTACTACAGAGACCATGGCAGAAACTTGCAATTGATATCGTTGGTCCCCTGGAGAGGGCGCCTCCAGATTGCAGATTTGTTCTGACACTGGTGGACTACTTCTCAAAATTGCCAGAAGTACAGTTTCGAGGAAAATTTCTACAAGCACCGTGACCGAATTTCTGCTCAATGTATTTGCAGGGGTTACGAACTTTGACTTTAACAATGTATTTGCATTGTTATGAACTTTGCCTTTAACATTGTGATCGCTGGTGCACGCGCTATTTACGGCTGGTATACCCTTCTACTTTGTACTCTCATCGCGAACAGACTGCGCGAAAAGTGCTCCGCTTTCTAGAGCGGCCATATAAGGGTATGCACTAGGTCTTGATCACAAGGCGGCCACACCATCATTGCACGATTTCGGAGGTCCATTCATGCGTGCCGTTCATGCAGTACAGATCAGGAGCAGCGAAGCACTCTTGATCACACAGGTCAAGAGCAGCGAAGCGCGTGCCTATCGGCACTGCTGTTGGCTGCGGCTTCTATATCACGTTACCTACAAGCTTACGTTGATGCTTAGAGCATAGCACAAGGGCCTAACACACAGTAGGACCATGTTTGGTAGCATTACAGCGTCTCTCTTTACACATTTCTGAAGAAAATGCCAGCTGGAGTGGCCGACTGGGTGCTCTAGACAAGTCTGATTCCATCTGTCCGTGCATTGGAGGCTAAGATCGAGATGTTTCCGGGGTCTCTAGTCCCCCAAGTCGCAAATATCGAACAACGCGCGTGCAGCAAGTTTTTGCAAGTGCGCGAACCTTGGAAATGGCAACCCGCCGCCACCGCTTCTCATAGATGACGTCAAGCCTTATCATTTGATGTAACAATACAATTTGTTGGTATCACATTTATTTCTAAGAGCATAAGTGAAACTAACAAATTGTATCTTTTAGATCTGATATCACCTAACTCAAAACAACGTTAGCTAAAGGGACAGTGATCACTCATGTTGCCGAAGCGTTCGTGCTGTCAGTTATCCAATTGTGAAGCACATGTTGGGGGCAGTTGGAGGCAGGGTAGTTAGACAGGACAATGGCAAGCTTTCCAAGGAAGCAAAGAATCTCATTAATAAACGTCAAATCATGAAAGTCTCAAGTACAACAGACAAAATAGAACTGGCAGAGCTTTCAAAGTTATTTAATAGGCATAAGGTATGCGATGTAAGAAGGTATAACATGGAGAGAATTGAACACGCTCTGAAAAACGGAGGAAGTGTCAAAGCAGTGAAGAGGAAACTTGGGTTATGCAAAAATCGGATGCATGCACTAAGGCACAAAGAAGGCAAAATAACTACCAATATAAATAGGATAGTTAAAATAGCGGAAGAGTTTTACAGAGATCTGTACAGTAGCCGGGACAACCACGACTTTAATACTATAAGAACTAGCAGTAACTGAGATGACATCCCACCAGTAATGATAGAAGAAGTCAAAAAAGCTTTGGAGAGCATGCAAAGAGGCAAAGCTGCTGGTGAGGATCAGGTAACATCAGATATGCTGAAAGATGGAGGACAGATTGTGTTAGAAAAGCTAGCCACCCTGTTTACGAGGTGTCTCCTGACGGGAAGGGTACCAGAGTCTTGGAAGAACGCTAACATCATCTTAATACATAAGAAAGGAGATGACAAGGACTTGAAGAATTACAGGCCTATCAGCTTGCTCTCTGTAGTATACAAGCTATTTACAAAGGTAATTGCTAACAGAGTAAAGAAAACATTAGAATTCAATCAACCAAAGGAACAAGCAGGATTTCGAACAGGCTACTCAACAATTGACCACATTCATACTATCAATCAGGTAATAGAGAAATGCTCAGAATATAACCAACCACTGTACATAGCCTTCATAGATTACGAGAAGGCATTTGATTCAGTAGAAATATCAGCCGTCATGCAGACACTGCGGAATCAGGGCGTTGATGAAGTATATATAAACATCCTGGAAGAAATCTACAGGGGATCAACTGCTACCATAGTGCTTCATAAAGAAAGCAACAGAATACCAATCAAGAAGGGTGTAAGGCAGGGGGACACAATCTCCCCAATGCTATTTACCGCGCGCTTACAGGAGGTTTTCAAAAGCCTAGAATGGGAACAGTTAGGGATAAGAGTTAATGGAGAGTTCCTTAGTAACATGCGCTTCGCAGATGACACTGCATTGCTGAGTAACTCAGGGGACGAATCGCAACTGATGATTACGGAGTTAGACAAGGAGAGCAGAAAGGTGGGTCTTAAAATTAATCTGCAGAAAGCAAAAGTAATGTACAACAACCTCGGAAAAGAGCAATGCTTCGAGATAGGTAATAGTGCACTTCAAGTTGTAAAAGACTATATCCACTTAGGGCAGGTAATAACCGCGGAGCCAAACCACAAGATTGAAGTAACTAGAAGAATAAGAATGATTAAGGGTAACTAACTGGATTCCCAGAGAAGGCAAGCGGGTTAGGGGGAGACAGAAGGTTAGGTGGGCAGATGAGATTAAGAAGTTTGTGGGTATAAATTGGCAGCAGCAAGCACAGGACCGGGTTAACTGGTGAAACATGGGAGAAACACAGGAAGTTTACAAGCAGTCTCATTATACCTCGAGATGGCGCATGCTAGCTACTTCAAGCGAAGCAGTGTCCCCTCCACCCCTCCCTTCAAAATGAGGCAATAAATGCAATGCCATAATATTCTTTTTTTTTAACCTTCAGCTATTGACCCTCAAAAGCGAAAGGTGGACGTGAGCGTAGCCACTTTATAGGCCTTCAACACCAGAGCCACCAGCGATGGCTTCACTATAGCAGCACATATTGAAACCGAATTGTAGCTGCTTAAACCATGAGGCATGCTTTTATAAATGAGATGACATTTAAAAAGAAAGCATGCGAGAATTTTCAATACCCTAGCAACCTCAAGTATGAAAGGGCAGGGTCATCAAGGTGCTTTTACTGCCGCAGCGGTTCTAAACGCAGATGTGCTGGTGAAAGGAATTACAAAACAGCTCTTTTGTATGATGATCCATTGACAAAGTACATTAGAAGAAAAGTGTGAACGCGTTCCCACCATTTGCATGTCCTGCGGACGCGAATCACAGAAAATTAGATCACGATGTCCAGACATTAAACGTGAAAAACATTTTGGCGGAACGCGTGCAGTTATTAGTAAAAATTGCTTTATTACATGCCCCGCAACTTTTCAAACGAACTATCAGCAGCGTTCCTGTAACAGACGGCGTCCACCGATAAACCGCCGCCACAGTTTCACGCTACCGATTGGACTAGACACCACGAGCCCCTGCAGAGAGTGCGTCTCGCCGTTAAGAACTTGCACAACAGAGTTGCGTCAGCACCAAACAAAGCATTGTGGATTTTAGGACGCATGCGCGACCACTGTTTATTCAGCGTAATAAAATAGATACGTGATTGCGACTTTGGTTGCCCCGAGAACAAGGTGCACATGTATTGACGTGCCGGCATGGCTATTGCTGGTTGTAGTCCCTCCAAAATCCGTCTTTGGCGCGGTTTGGCGCAATTTCCGTTGAAATCATCAGGATGGCGCAGTAAATCTGATTTGGTGCACTTTGGCACTGTTGGTGCAGGAGTGGGATCACTGTATTACACACATGCAAGACAGAGAAGTAACAATACGAGCGCATAGAGACCATGCCACACCATGGTGCTGTATGGTCCACTTCAACAGTGGTACAGTATTCAACAGAATAGGTAAATAAGGCTTTTCCTTTTCCAAGAGTTCAAACTAACTGAAAATATAATATCCACACTTCAGAATCATTACTTCCTATTTCAGTATGTCATCTGATGCACCAAGTGGCCCAACTCCAGTAATAACAGCTGTAAACTAATGTAACGTAAGCCATTTACGAACAGTTAACAGGATGTAAAAATAAACAAACACTACAAATTTGACACATAGGTGCAAAGAACACAATTTGTGTTATGCTAGGTTAGCTTAGGCATGGCTACATTACCAGGGTTAATGGCAAGACAAGTTGTCAATGAATCAATGAATATAAATAGACATATGATTTCCAGCCTATCATAACACGGCAGACAACATAATGCAGTTGCATGTGGCAAGTTGAATTTACTACAATCAGGGTGGATAGCAATAAAAGAAATGTGGCCTTTGGTATCAGAAGTGAGGGATATTTCCAAGTATGTGAAAAGGAAAGTTGGGCAAGTTAGTGATAGTTTATGCTTACTTATGAAGCAGTGCATGGAGACAAGACACAAAAGGAACAAAGGCAGCATTGTCCTTTTTGTTCCCTTTGTCTCCATGCACTGCTTCATATGTAAGCATGTCAAAGGAACTGAGCACTAAGCTTACCTAGCCTCACAGCAAAACTTCCTTTGCTCCAAATTCTAAAGTCGAACAAGATATGCTGATACACCAGCTGCAGCATTTCTTGAGCATTCTCGACGCCACTTGCATTTTCAACCAACAGCTGCACTGCCATTAGGACGTTCACATCAATGCAGTGTCCTGGAACCTGTAGAATACACAGCACAACATTATCAGAAAAAGAAGCAAAATCATTAAATAGGTATGCAACCTAACAATATGTTCTTTGTATTTGTCAGCCTTTTAAGAAATTGAATCAAGCAGAATGTGTAGTTTTTCAGCAGTGAAGCGAGAAGAATCACAAGATATCCATTAGCGATTTGTCGTGACATGGCACTTTTGTCTTTCTTTCATAAATATGCCTACGCCACTCGATCACCGCTAGCGCAATTACAACTTTCCTCTCACTTATCGCACAGGTTGCACAATGACTTCAGCTACACCCGCCTCTACGGCACCACTAATGCTTTTAACTACTCGTCACTCCCGTGTGCCATAAAACTGTGAAATGATCTTCCAAACAGCATCAGCCTCCAGCGTAATCCCAATAAATTTCGCGAGCATCTTCTCAACCATTTCACTGATGATGCTTAGCTGGTCCACTTACTCCCAGGATTCATGCATCCCCTTTTTCTTTTTATTTCATCATCACAGTGAAGCTGTTGTTTAAAGTTTTGTTCATTAACCCCAACCAGCACGGTAAACTGCGTAGTCTGTTTCACTACGCTTCATTTTGATCTGTCCAACACGCTATTGCATTTATTTTACATGTTTTAAACTTACCTATTCATGTGGAATACATATGACTACTTCTGTACTTGGACATATTTTTGCTGTTGTTGACGTACTACATTGTTCTTACCGACTCGTTAACCCAATTTGTTATTACTTTGTATCGACCCCCCTTACACAATGCCTCTGCGAGGCCTGTAAGGTACTTGTAAATAAATAAATAAATAAATAAATAAATAAATATGAGGAATGGTTTCATGGGCGCTTTCAAAGTAAGCACACGCAATTTCTTGTAAAACTTTTTTATTCCTCCACAGCTTTATGCCAAGTTAAGTGATGCAAAATGCAAGAACTATACCACCTCAATGTGTCTTCCAAGTTTAGGCACAAGAAAAGAAAAAGAAGCTAGCTTGTGCAACTAATGGGGCAATATTGGTTGATTGAGTGGGTGAGTGATTGATTGATTGACCAATTAATCAAGTGATACTCATTGCAACAACCAGACTATGAGAAACACTGTAGTGGCTGGATTAATTCTTTACCCCTTATGCCTTCCTTCTTGATACCCAGTCAGAATCATTTACGAAATGTGTGGAAAAGCGTAGTAGCAAAGATAAGCACTCCTGAATATTTTTAATGCACCTTTATTGCCAATATCAGCGGTAATCATGTGCAGCTACTCCAGTGATTTCCTGCTCTTCATTCTTACAATAATTTAGCCTTTTACCCAACAAGCATGTAGCAATGTACACAAAGCTTTGCCCATCACTGTCCCAAATCCTTCTGCAAGTGTACCCAGGTCTGAGAAACCTTACAGAAGGCATCTCAAAGGCCCTAAAATTGACACAGTTGGAGTGTATTACACCACCACCTGAAACACTTCTTCATCGCTGATAGTGTGTACCCATATACAACAGTAGAAGGGTGTAAAAAAGCAGGACAAAAATGTCTCACACAAAACCATGGCTTGTACTGTGTACTATGTTAAAAAGTGTATGACTGGCCCCCTTTGAAGAACACATGAAGTAAATGCTTTGGTATTTCCCACATTGTGGAACGTTGCCACTGTGGCTGGAAATTAAGCCTGTAGTCTTTCTTTCAGCAGCATATATGGCACAACCATTGAGCAACAGAGGCAGGTACTAACCCTTTGCATGAGAGCTCCTATGGTTGGTATTCCGGTGCGAGCCAAGAGTTGCATTTGGTTCTCTGGACTTCCTTGCATGAGATGCTGTACAATAACTAGAAAGCTAGAGACTTGATTCTGAGCTAGCCTCAAATCTGGAATCGAAAATATGAGGAGGGAGGGATGGGGAAGGAATCTTCAGGTCAAAGAATGAACTGAAACATGAATTTGAACACGCCATCTCTCTGGGGAGAAGGATACCAAGAGAGGGAGGACGAGTGGATGAAAAGAAATATATATATACCTTCCTAGGGGTGTGAGTAATAAGCATTTGTGTCATAAGGAACAATGATAATAATATCTGGGGCTTAATGCCCCAAAACCACGATATGATTATGAGAGGCGCCGTAGTGAAGGGCTCCAGAAATTCCGACCGTCTGGGGAACTTTGACGTGCTCCTAACTCTAAGCACACAGGCCTCAACATTTTCGCCTCCATCAAAAACGCAGCCTCCGCAGCCGGGATTCAATCCCGCGACCTTCGGGTTGGCAGTCGAGCGCCATAACCACTAGGCCACCAAAGTGGGGCAGGAATAATAGAAGCTTAAATAGCGACTTCTACCCAAAGAAATTCGATTGGTCATTAAGCACTGTTTTACAACCTTTGTCAGTGTGAAAGTATCGTCCAACCCTTTATAAAAGACAAATGGGTATAAGAGACACCATTGTGCCTACAGTAAACTACGTGTTGATAAAAAATGCATACAAGGCACCCTGCTTATATGAGACATCTCAAACAAAAGACAACAATTGCTGCCCTGAGTACGCCTCTTATAAAGGAGTTTAACCGTACATGCAAAGCAAACCAAGCAAAGTGTGTGCACCGTTTTTCGAGCATGTAAAATGTTAAAAAATGTGTACCTTGCATGCAGCCCTGAGCATCATAGCATGCAGTTAATATGAAGCGATTACATTACAATGATGAAACACCCTTCTGTGTTATTCACACCCTTAAGCATTGCAATCAAGTTTGATTGTGAAAAGATAAACTGCAAATTCAGGCTCACTTTATCAACACTTTTCTCTTTTGCTGATATTTTTGCTAATCTGAACAGTCTTTAGGAAAGGCAGCAATAATGACACGATGAGAATCATGCAAGGATGCCTATACAGTAGTGCAATTGAAACATGAAGTGAAGTTCATGACAAATAACTTAGCATTTGGACCAATTTATTGTTTTCTGAACATAATATAATGGTCACAGTCTTAAATAAAATAAATTGCACAGAATTCAATGCCTAGTAATACAGTTGAACCCACTTATAGTGGTACTGATTTTATACATATATTGTTTATAACAGGTACAAGTTGCTCCACTGTCAGCTTTAGTATGTTTTCCACGGTGAAATACCCCGGTTAAAGCAATGCCTCCATGCCGTATCATTCGTTAAAACAATAAATTACGGTTAGTGGGTGTCCTAGCCAAAAAGTAATTTAATGTGAAATCTTTGAAAAAAAAAAAAGAAGATTACCAGGAAATTCAAGCTGCTGAACATCTGCCTCCCCACAAAACACCAATGTACCCTTCGCCCCTATGAATTCATGGTATGCTTCACCGCATAAAGCAAAGGCATTACAGAAAGGCTGACTTTTGACGTGTACTATGGCGCGGGAGCAGCGGAGGCTTCTTTAAAGAGTATTTAGGAAGTCTCTTTTGCTTTTTTTTTTTTCAAGTAACCCTTGTATAGTGATTCTCGGTCTTAATGAAATTTCCGTGGCACTGCAGTATTGTTATAACAGAACTCAACTGTAATATCTGAGGCATTACGTGCCAAAACCATGATATAGTTATGAGGCACCCGGCAGTGGAGAGCTCTGGAAATTTCAACCACCTGGTGTTCTCTAACGTGCACTGACAAACAGTGCACACTACATGGGTCTCTAGCATTTCATCTCACATAGATTTGTGACCGCCGTGGCTGGGATCGAACATGCGACCTTTGGCTCAGCCACCAAACACCGATATCATAGCACCACCATAGCAGACAAAAAAAATTCAATGCCTGTAGCATGGCTTTCGAGATGGCAGGCACGCGGCAGTTTTCTCCCTGGCCGTCCCAATGGCACGGAGAGAGCGCGTTTCCAGAGGTGGGCGTGGCCCGCTCTTTTTTACGCACCGCATCGCTCCTTCGTATGGTCGAAAAGGCTGCCACGCTGTTGGCGACGCTTGCATGTGGCGAGAAAAAAATGGTTTTGCCCTTTTCTGCAATTTCGCGCTCAATTCAGAATGTTGGGCCAAGGTGTACGAATGGCAAAGTCAATGCTTGGGCGTATATATTCTCAAATGGAACGTGGGGAGTGAATGTGGGTTGGCTAATTGAAGCCTTTTACAATGTTCCGGCAAAATTACTTCTCACGCACCCATTTCAATGACATGAACAGGGCACTCTAGAGCGTAACTGCAACTCGGTTGACCACATCATAAATATTTGTACCTGACAGAACAGTAAAATTATGAGTCAGGGCAGGAGAGTAATACGATTCAACGACGATAATTATCCCAGTTTTCCCCCATACAAGACACTTCAGAAATGAGTAATGCTAGAATGCCTCTATATTTCTCAAATTGAGGTGGTTAACACCGAAACAAAATGCACCATAATGAAAAAAAAATTAATACTGCAACAGATGAATTGATACCTCTTTACAATTACCTATCAGGAAAATTCAGCAGTTGCCATGCTCTTGTCCACAAATTGGACCAAAAAACGTAGTAACAAAAAAATACTTTCCTTCAGTTCAATGAGATGGTTCTGGCGATATTTTTTGCTGGTACACGAAAAAAAAAATGCGCACGCTGGAATCCCGTGCCCTCTGCTGTCTGCCGCTGTCTTTGCTGCCGCCAAAATCCGTGTTCTCTCACGGCAGTTGGGCGCACGAGGCGATGCTCTGCTCATTCATTTTGCTGGGGAGCGCGGCGATTGGGACGGCCAGAGAAAAACATGCCGCGCACCTTTCATTTCAGAGGCCATGTCTTTAGTATCCGTATACTTACAAAAATTTAATTTAGCGCAATAAATTGTTGAGCCAAACAAAGTTTATTATGATGAAACTATAACAGCCGTCAATCAGCTATATGGAACATTGAATTAAATTGATGTTTTCTATGTTCCTTTGTAACTGAATAACTTGGGTCGACACAAAATAACACTGCATATACAGCAGACAATAAAACAAAAAATACTATACTGAACACATCCTGCATGCACAAATAGCCTTTTCATGCAGCCAGAGCACCCCTGGACCCAGCGTGACATGACACATAAAGCAAAGCTGAAATGATGAGAAGTCAACTGACATTGCATATGTATTGTTGGCCATCAACTATTGACAGCATTACATTTGATGGGAATTATCAAACATTATGCTAATGAGAAAACAGGAAATATGTTTCAACAATGAGCAGTGCATCTTCATTATGGCCAATGGAAGCCATTTTGAAAAAACTTCACAAAAATGAGAAACCCTGACCCAGTTTTGTCGTTATTAATGAACAAGTATGCTGTATCATCCTACAAATTGAATTTTCATAAAATTTCAGATGCCAAGACTACGATCTGACTGTGAAGCATGTCTTAATGGGAAACTACAGGTTGATGACTACATATGCAAGGTTTTTCAATGTATACTATAACTTGAATGCACAAGAATTTTAGCATAACCCTTTCCAACCCAAACTTTTTCTAGGGCAGAACAAAAATTTTTAATGTTTTTTTTTCTAGCTAAGAGGTCATTCAAAAGCACACAAAAAAAATAAAGAATGCTGTAAGTACAACTGTTTTCATAGGAGAACCGTGTCCAGTATACTGGACACTGGGATTAATTTGTTGCACATATGGGTACACACACTGTGACGTCTTCCTTTAAAGAGTGCTGGTTTTGGCCATGTCAGAAGGTTAATCGATTTATAAAACACGAACACATTTCGTTTTGACCCGAGAAACAGTTTCTCATGGTTAGCTTTGCACATAGCGTTCAGCACCACAAAGGAAAATAATACCTAGAAGGGAGCGCGCCTAACGTTCGTGCGTCAACTTCATCAGCACTGCTCCCTCCTCGTGGTTCATGCCCTTCGATAGATTGCCAGCATGCTCCAGTTTTATTTTTTATGGCTGGGCTTCGAGATTGCCATCTGACGCCGTCTCTTGTTGTTGTTGTTGTTTTTTTTTCTTCATGTTTGGCACGATGTCCACCAATTGCATCCTGGCGTCATTCATTCATTCTCGCATTGCCAGTCAACTTCTGAATTCAAAAGCTACTTTTTTGCAACTATGTTTCAAAAAGACATAAAACAGCTCGCATGATTTATATCTTTTTAATTGCATAAAGATAGCTCCTGAAATAATTTTGAATATTTGAACACGTCATGCTCACATGTTTCCAAGTGAATGACGCTATGACTTTGAGGTGCCCACATAAGAAAATGGGGAAACTACATTTTAAAACATATCGCTCGACTCTAACGGAAGCTGCCCAAGTAGCTTAGGTTTTGATTGTAGCTCTGCTTACTTTTCTGCATTGCTGTTTTTGTCATGTCCCATACACTGAACACGGGGTCTGAAAGGAATATCACTCAGATCGAAATGTGCCTGCCACTGCAAGGACTGAGTTTGCAACCTCACACTCAGCAGAGAAGGGCCGTAGCAACAATGTTACCAAAGCAGCTCACAGCTTATGACGTTTGATATTGTCACAAATTACCAATTAGTAATTAAGGTGTTTAAAACCCTTTCATTGTAGCTGCCATGCAAAAGGCATTGCACTGCTACACAATCACATGGCTAACTGCTGAGCTGAAGATAAAACTTAAAAGCATGGTCTTCTGTTGCTGTATACTACTTATGGGTATTAAAACAGTACATTACTTTCCATACTGCATGAAAAATTTGTAAACAAGAAGGGGGGGGGGGGGGGGGCTGTAGCCCACAAGCAGAGATGTCATTTTTAGGGCTGAAACCTGAAGACTTGCTGCCTTGCAGCCTAGATGCCTTGAAACTTGTAGCCTTGAAGAAGACAAGTTCGTTCGTCAAATCATCAGCTACAGCACTCCCCATGTTTACGCAGTCTCCATCACAAGCTTCCATCACCCCCTGGCTTTTAATTTTGCAGTGTTTCTTCAGTCACAGAAGCATCCGAACTTCTCTCTTCTCTGTTAAACCAACCAACAAGGCTTCCTTTAGCATACTTAATCAACTTGAACCATGACCAGAGTTAAAAGAGAAAGGTGGTTGCTTGGAGAACTTGTCGCTCCCTTCTGACAAGTGTGTTTAGGTGGAAGCCCCATGGAGAAGGCCAGATTTGTGCGCACAACCTTCACCAAGTTAGTAGTTGATGCGAGAATTTAGAGTGCCGCGTGAGCTCAGGGCCAAGTAATTTTTATAAGAGTTTGGAGGCAGCAACACCTTTCCTCCGTGGCATCAATCTTGCAATATTATTTTATCTGTTCATTAATTATCAATCTTTACCTTAGAGCACTGCAAAAAATGCGACCTTCTTCCATAGATTGTCATTCTATGAACCCATTCCGAGGTTCTTCCTGCTCCATGGCAGGCAGTTGAATGTTGTTAAGCTCACTTGGCCTCAAAGATTGATGTGTGTAGATAAGACGTCAATTTGCATGTGACCTTCATTGCTTTTGCTTCAGAGACCTGTTGTCTGGCTCCACTGAATCTACTCCCTTTGTCTATTTTATAAAACAACTTATTCTATGTGCTAAACTCAATAAGCAGAGAAGTCTGCTTTAAAGAATTATCTGTGGCATGGCACAGCAGCAAAAAAAAAAAGAAATTCTTTGGAACCACAAGTGCCTGCACATCAGTTGGAGTCCCTTTGATGGGCAGTGGCAGCGAGCGAGGAAAACATGAGCAAGGCAAAAGCAGACCCCACAACAAGCCAGGAGAACGAATGCAATTGCAGGAAGCAGTTAAGTGTAATTGGCATGCCTGACCCTTGGCAAGTGTTTTAGGATCGCCCTCCGTCTCGCACAGCAAGTCCAACAGCACGGACTGCGGTCCTAAGCAGAGAAACAGTGAGGTGCGCTCGCACATAAACGAGACGGCGAGCAAAACAAGGCCTTGCACATGCTCTACACAACTATACACTGGACATTCAAACACACTGGTGCCATTGTTCAGGGTGAATCATAAATCTTTCACATTTCTCATCACTAGAACAGGCACGCAAATCAAGCAAATCATCTCCCAAGGCTCTAAATGTAGCTTTCATCACAATAGTCAGGCAAACATTCTACTGCCATGCAAGAAAAGCCATTAATTCCCAAACTATTACTACTCAAATTACAATTCAGTTGTGTAACACCCCATAAATTGACACGACAATGTGATTCATATTGTTAACCTCTCTGTATGTCTCAAACATATACAGTAAAAGCTTGTTAATTTGGGACCGGAAGAAATCTCTAAATTAAGCAAATTCCAAATTATCGAAATTATAAAAAAACAATATATAAACATCTATTACATTAATACACTTTAATTTTTCCAGTGAATACATAAATGTCTCACTTATTTCACAAAAGAGAAGCAAAAGTCAGAATTGTCACCATCCTGCAACTTCTTTCTCAATATGAGTACAGCCCAACAAACCTGTCTGTTAATTAGCCCTACACCTGCTCTCCACTTCTACCTTATTACGCTCTGCCACCACCACCAAACGCACATGACAATACCTTTTTATTGTGACAGCAATTATACAGACACTCTCGGCTGGATTTCGCCGCCAGCGTCGGCATCGACGTGGACGTCGGCGTCGATGCCATGCACCGCATATATATGAAAACGCAAGAAAAAAATCTCAGAAAAAAGACTCCGGTGCACGGAATCAAACGTGGGACCCTGCGTCCAGAATGTGAGGCATTATCCACTAGCTGAGAGGTACCTCCTTCAACGTTCAAACAGCAATCTATTCATATATATCACCTACCGCTGTTGGCAGGCATCTCGGAGATGGAACTATCGTGCTTTCAGCATTATCAGCAAGATGGCGCAGTGAGCACGCGGCGGCTCTCATCTCTCACGCGTACATTGGCCCGCAAAGAGAATAAGTGGGTGTATGCTCGATCGCACACCCTTATCTTGCAGTGGTGAGAATCGTACGTCTTGGCTAGCCATTGAGTTTCATCGTAACGATTCTGTTGTAGTTACCAGGCGCACAAAGGTCACTGCAATCATTGCAGTCTCCGTTCACGAAAAGCGCCCACTTTTCCGACTCAACGAAGTAACAATTGAGACGCTTATTCGCGTTAATCTGTACCTGTGCGTGCATTTCATGCGTTTTTTGTGCGTGAGAAATGGGGGGCATGTTTCAATCTGCTTACCATGCTGCAGGTGACCTTCCGAATTGTTGCTATCGCGTTCATTGCTTCGCCTATGCGGCAAAGCTGTGACTTTTTTTCGCCAGAAAACAAACAAAACTTGCCGAAGCTGCTCAAGCTTTGGTCAACAACAACGGGATGATGAATGGTGACCGTGCCTTTTAGGGCGCCCACTACCAGTGAGGTGTTACATACGATGGTAAACACAAATAGGTACGAAGAGCTCTGATTTTCCTGACACCACCACGTGGTTGCAACTGATCACTATAGCAATACAGACTGCACCACCTCATTTAGGTTGCCTTCGAATGTAATTTTGACTCTTTTTCACTGGATATTTGCAGCACTTCGCACTTACAGCACTCCTAGGTTCGTTCGAATTAACCAAGCTATGGCCACTTATGACCAAATTAAGGAGAGTTTGAAGCCATTATGAGATGTGAACCATGGCCAAGACCAGAGACATTTGAATTATCTGAGTTTCCAAATTAAAAAGACTAGAATTAGCTAGCTTTTACTATAATAAATTTTTTTCAAAGCACGGCTGCACATTAAAATAAGCTTCAACTAGACATATGGCTAGAGCCTAAACCTTTATAATTCTTGCTGAAGATGTTTTGCACAAGACACAAGAAAAGAAGAAACCACACACACTTTATGTAAAAATGACAACCAGGGCTCACTCTTCTTCAAAATTTGCAAGAACTTGTGCTATGAATTACAAAGTTGTATACTGCTTCTGTGGTGAAAAATTTAATGTCCTTCAATATACAAGTTGATCAAAACTTAGCTTTACAGATTTCTTAAAATTATGTGTTGAAAGCAGCAGAAAATCCATTTCTACATATATCTAACTTAAGCAGGTAGGCGGACATAAAGTTAGATGGCAGTTGTACTGTCACATTGAGCCACTAAAATGCATTCAGGAACCTTATTGGTTTGGAATTTTGTATATAAAATAACTTCTGTGGGGTGAAGAACAGACCAGCAAACCGACAAACAGAATGGCAATCTTCTTACTTCCCATTTTTCAGTGCATTCTACCTACACTGAGTAATCAGTAACTAAATTTTGTAGGCCTAATTCAAGATATACAAAACCTTAGTAAGTAAAAATTGAATGAAGAAATAAGATAATGAAACTGATTTCTCTATTAGATCCATGAAATTCTTTAAGCAATGACTTGCCGGAGAAAGATGATGAGGACGATGGCACAACAATCCAGTCATCTACAATTTCCTCCGAGGCTTTGTTGCTGGATGGTGTAGAAGCCGCTTCAAAGCTTGGAGAGCACTTGGGAATTGGTTTCCCAGAGTTCTCCAGAAGAACATACAGTGTCGGGAACCCGCCAATCAAGTTGACTGTATCCTGTTTGAAAACGTCAATCAGTCTTTACCAATGTAAAGGTAGAGCAGCTCAAGAAAATAGCACGCACGACATACCCCCCCCTTAAAGGATGAGCTGGTATCCACCTGGATATCGATTTCTTCACTTTTATGGCTATACATATACAGTGCATATTAAAAAAATTAACTGTCACCTACAATGATAATACAAAACTCTCATTTAACACTATGCTTGACTCACTACCATATTCTAGAACACCTTTTCACTCAACACTTCACCTTGACTTGAAAAGGTCGATGGGAGCGCCGTCTCGTGGCAGACCAAGTTACTGCATATCGGCGATAATCTGCAGCGATTCTTGAGAAGCGCAATGTCAATTCCAGTCGAGCAGCGGCGCAGTGCTTCACTTAGACAAGTAAAGAACGAAATTTGAGTTGAGAAGCGTTTGTGAACACGGGGGTCAGACCTTTTTTAAAATGAATTAAAGTTGTCAACCAACATCTTTGCATTGCCGAAAATTAGTTTTTCTTTCTGTTTCACAGTAAACAATACAAAGGGGTGGGGATGCTGGGTTTAATACCCAAACCATCAACATTTGTTCAGTTTTTCAGTTTTTGTTCCAAAAATACGCTAGCACATACACTCCGAGCTTTGTGCAATATGTACTATAGTATTCAGATTTGTCTATTTACGCAACGCTGCATTCAGACTCGTCCATTTTAGAGGTTATTCAGCATCCATTGCTTTGAAGCAAACTTGGCCACTATGTCATGCAGGCTGTCTCCTCTTGAATATTCCACAATGACCTTAACTTATATTCAGGCTTGTCCCACAAGACTGCTTAACATGCGCTTTTGTAGAAAGCTAGCATGTTACTCCAAAATGGTGCAGAACTCATGAATCTAGCACTTTTCTCAAAAATAAAATGCAAACGTAGCAGTGGAATAAAGCCGGAGAAAGATGGAAATCTCTTAAGACAACCAGATGATGTTTTAGTTAAGTACTACATCAAATAATGACGCATTGTTCATTGAGCAGGGAAAGGTCACAGTCACCACACCAGCACCTTGAACATCCACCGCAAGTCAGGAAGCTAAATTCGTTTACAGTATGTTCCATCCAAACCGGTGATGCACAACATACCTTGACGTTCTGTGTGTGACAGTAGCGACCAGTGAATGTGCCATCGTAAATTGATGAAGAGGGGGCAAGGTTCGTACATGTTCCATCAACAGAAGCCTGCATGTACCAACACATTTGACACAAGCATAACTTTAAGAGAAAAAGCAAGACCAGTCATACTGAATACAACAAATATAGGTCAAGAATGACAAGACATGCACTGCACAAAAGTTTTCTTATGTAACTTGTCCCCATCAGTAGCCACTAGAGAAATTTTTTATACTTATATAACTAAAGAGAAAAGAAAAACAATGACAACGAATAATAATCGAAAGGCGATACCTTTGCATCATAGTAAAGAACCAGCTTTCCTAGAAGCTCCGCAACTTCTACAGAGTCTTCATTCTTGAATAATGTGTAGTTCCTGGGGCCTGGTTAATGTAGAAGGAAATAAAAAAGCATGAAATTCCAGGCATAACTATTTTTGGCTGAAAACACTGGCAGAATAAACGTCCCACTACGTAATTCATGTAGAAACGACATTGTCAATATACACACTGACGAGTTTAGAAATGTTTCAGACAAGGAATGCCTGTATTTGGTACATTAAATACTCCTACAAGTCATGTAGTCAAGCTAAATCAATAATGTGACAGCAACAGAGAAAATTTGTGCACTATCTTCAATGCTGAGTGCATTGTTCAGAAGTAATCAAAGCGTGTCTAGAAGACTTGGCTAGTTCTCTATGTACTCAATCATACATTATTATCTATAAGCTTACCTCCAGTGTACATCATTTTAACTTGAGATGCCTGTAGAGGCTCGCTGAATAGGCACAGTGATCCAATCTGTCCCTTGAGACCTCTGGACAAACCCCAAACCTACGGAAAGCAAGCCATGAGTTAAAACAATGTAATGGTAACTATAACTTTTCTGAAAATCCAAGAAACAAATGTTCAGAAAATTACTCACTACAGCCAATGCTAAGTGACAGTGCTTAGTGTACTACACTCAGGGAAAACTTGACAGGGCCATGCAGGCAAAGCTATGAATGTAGTTGAAGCACTTGTACCACTAAATGAAAGTAGTCCTACAGGCTGGATATCACTGCTGTTACAGTTGTGCAGGTGCTGAATTTCTGAAGACCCATGTAACATGTACGTTCAAGAGATTTTTTTTTTTGGGGGGGGGGGGGGAAGCTGTGGTGAAGAAACATTAGGGGGGTGTCAATCCCCCTTAACTCCCCGCTAGTTATGGCCCTGGTAGTACAAATACACTGGGCTTGCCAGAGAAGTTTCTCACTGGCTGAACATGGTAACGTAGCACCATCACATGGAAATTTCAGAAAGTGCTCACATTGCTGGCCCCAAGACATGGTACAAAATCTCAACCTTTAAAAAAAGATATGCTGCAATATTATTTAGTGTGAAGTAGAGCGCATTGTTGCATTGATATTGTCAAAGAACAGCAGTTGAACTTGCTGCTATCACAGACATACTCTGCCAATCAATTTTCTATGATTGTATAACCACAAAGCGTTGTCTATGAGTGTAGATTTTTATTTTCCCAATGAAACATGGAAATATGTTTTTAAACAACTACTCATCACGTGTAAAAATCAAGCGTTCTCTTGCTTCAATACCTTGTTAACACCTATAGTGCACAGAAAGGACAAAAACACAGATGTACTACGTGGACGCAGCGCTAACTTCCAATAATTGATTTATTCATGAAGCAGTACAACTAAATACAGTTAAACCTCGATATAATAAAATTGACATATTCCATCAAAAATTAATTATAAAAAGGATTTCATTATATGCAGGTTCGGTACAAAAATTTGAAAAATAAATGCACAATATAAACAAAAAGAAAACTGAAGGCAGAGCTAACCCAAAACAATTATTTAGCGCTAAAAAGCTGCCTTAATATTGCAATAGCAATTATATAGACACTCTCGGCGGGTTTTCGCCATCACCTCCATGTTTCATAGTAAGTCCAAATTGGTAACCTGCCCCCGCACATTGTAAGATTTATGAGTGGGTAAAAGCGCATGAGTGCTACTGAAGCAGAGATCAAATAAGCCGGCACATCTCTATCGCCTGAAAGGGGCGTACAATAACACCCCCACATGTTAGTACTGCGGTTGAATGCTCAAACAGAAAGGAAACCACCCATCTTAAACAAGCATGAAAAAACACTGAGCAAAGTAGAAAATGTGAACTCTGATTTTAAGGGCGCAGTTGCAATCACTGGGGCGCATGCTATTTCGGCAAGCATCAGTGTGCTTCAACGCGAAAAGACCGTGTGAAAAGAGCACAGCTCTCTGGAGTGGCCGTATTTGTATTTGCTTACACTAGGGTTTTGTAGGATAGTGCCGCGATATCAGACCGAAGAGTTGGCTGCCAGCCTTAATACTTCGTATGACATACAATTTGTTGCTATCGCGTTCATTGCATTGCATTAAACGCGTCGTCGTGTTGCTAGAATTGATATGCTAATCGTGAAGGCTACAGTCCCATGAACTCACAGCACGGTTCAAGACAGCAAAGCGCATGACGAATCGACCTCTGAAAATTCGTCATTGTCAGTGTGGTCTAAGAGAGTTCCCATCAGTGCCTAATCTTACATCTCCTCAGTAGTAACGACATGGTTGTCTGCAAAAAGAAAAGAAAAAAAAAAACAGAAGCTGAACATCGCCGAGGGCCACTCCATGCCCACGCAGTAAAACCATGCAAGTGCCTCGAAAATGAAGAGTGAACGACCACAGTAAAGTGCTCTCGATATGCAGCGCGGCCCCATATATGTGACGCTAACTAAAAATGAAACATTGCAAAGTGACATCGCCTGTGTCACCTGTAGACTCTTCAGCAATCGAAGAGTGGCACTGCCAACACAAAAGTAATTTTCTTTTTTTTTTGTTTTTGGTTTGAAGGGAGGGGGAGGGTGCATCCGCACATGCGTTCCTAGTAACTACCATCGAACCCAAGTGTATCGAACTCGCCAAAAAGCGTTTATTAGTTTGATATATGGCATAATTCGATATAGGCCCGGTATAGGTTTTGACACAAAGGCACATAACAAACTAGAAGAAAAGTACTTTATTAATATGGTGGCTTCCTTGCGTGCCCTACTGTGGAACAAAATAGTCCCGGATTTTTTTCTGTGTCAACGACTTCGCTGCCTGCAACAGCACGCACGCCTCCACGTTGTCCAACGAGTCGAAGCAGCTGAGGCCACAACCTTTCACATTCAAGCAATAGCGCCGGACCAACGCAAGTGCACTAATCACTTCGGAGGATGTAGGGAATTGGCCATCATCGATTTCCATATTGCTGTCGCTTTGGCTCGTGGTCGGCACGACGTCTGCGATGTAATCCTTATCCTGTAATTGGCCCATGATGGAGACATCATCGTCCGCACTGACGAACTCGTCGAATGTCGATCTGTTGATAGCACCCGGGAACTCTGCCAGCTCGTTCCAAAACTTCGGCGGAAACAGCTGCAGTGTCTTCAGTGCTGTCAGAATTTGGGGTGTCATCACCAGGCATGCGGAAGCCGGCATGCCTAAAGCAGTTCTGGATCGTCTTCTTCTTGACATCTGCCCACGATCTACTCAACATAGCTCTGAGCAAGTCGATCTTAAGCTCCCTGCTGACACGAAGGTTCTGCAGCAGCCTCTCCACCAGGCGCTTCCGATAGCCGGCTTTCATTGCAACTATAACGCCTTGATCCAGTGGTTGCAGTACAGACGTAGTGTTCGGGGGCAAAAAACACAACTCGATGTTGCTGAAGGTCGTACTGCCTGGTGCGATGAACAATTGTCCACGAGCAAGCACACTTTGCGATTTTCGCCTACCAAATCATCATTCCACGACGATAGCCATCTGCTGAAAAGCTCCCCGGTCATCCACGCTTTTGAATTTGCTCGGTAGGTAACTGGAAGCGACAACGCATTTCGAAAACACCGCGGTGCCGTGCCTGTTGCCTTGTTGCCTTGTTTGGCAACATTTGTCAAAATAGAGCGGTTTCATACGCATTGAAGATATCTTAGGCTCTATATCTTACTGCGATATCTCGCCAGTTTTCTTTGAGCCATTTTTCTACGCTGTCCAGGTCCGCCGCTCTGCTTTCACCTGTAACAGCTTAGCCAATGATGTCGTGCCATTCTTAGAACCGCTGAAGCCAGCCTGAACCGCCTTGAAAATCATTCCTGCCAAGCAGAAAAGCAAAGTCCTTGGCTTTCTGCTAGATCATAGGGCCGGACACCGGGATGTTTCGCGACCGAACGTCCACAAACCACTTGTAAACAACCGCTTCAACATCTTCGTACACAGCAGCGCGCACACATCGGGTGCCACGGGCACCTGGCCTTTTGTCCGACTTGGCCCTGATGTCTGCCTTGTTCTTCAGGATAGTACTCAAGGTGCTCCTTGGAATTTCGTACACGGCGGCGACGTCGGACTTCTTTTCACCGCGCTCAACCCGATTGATAATTTCGAGTTTCGCGGCGAACGGCAAATTTTGCCTCTTTGCACAAGCCATGATGACGGCGCGCCAATACAGTTGACAGAGCACCAACAGGCAACACCACAGACCACGCTGAATCGGCAGCAGCAGGCACACAAGCATAAAGAAAGAAAAAATGGCGCTCCCTTCTACCGCCTCCGCGCCTCGGAGAAAGCACGACAACCTCCGATTGTCTGTAAGAGCTGCGAGCGGGCCAAGATCATTTTTTGAAGGGGGGTGTTCCCCCGCACACAACCGGGTCTAACCAACTTTTTCTAGGGTGGCGCCGGCAGTTTTCCCCGCCACCGCGAGAGAAAGCCAACTTGCTGGGGCACTTTTGAGGCACATAAAGTTTGATATATCAGTTGTTGTTGCTATTTTGGTTCGATAAAACAGTAACTTTTGCTATATATTCTCAATGTAAACTTACCGTGTTTAGGAATTGTTCGATATACGGGATAATTTTATATAAACGGGTTCGATATAGTCGGGCTCGACTATAGAACAGTGGCAATGCCGGCTCATAAGGCACAGACCCGCCCGTATAGCTCTCACAAACCTATGCGCTCGCTCTCACCTGGGAGTCATCGGAGCCACGAGCGCGCTATGCACGCTGTCGCAGCTTTCCGCTTCGTTGGCAGTGGGACAACTGCAGAAGACGAATGCTTATGCGAAAATGACAAAATCCGGGGCAGCATTCCTAGATTATCCATTGCAAAAATTTGTTATATCAAGGTTGTCTCCCGCTGCTACTTTGTTACATAGTGGCAGCAAATATATGTGCTTCTATAGAGTAATGGTGGCGAATAAAAAAATTTGTTATATAAAGTAATTCGTTATACAGAGATCCATTATAAGCAGGCTTAAATTTAGTATAGAAAATAGGAAGCAACACTCGATGTGCATAAGTACAAGATTAAATATTCAAAACATGAATGATACACATGAAAAATGTGCAGCCAAAGATAACATGAAGATACAACAAAAAAATCTCCAAGAATACCAGGCCATGTTGAATAAACCATCTTCTTAGAGCCATCCTTCCTAGTGCATTCAAAAACTCCAATTTCTTTCTTGTCAGCTCGATAGAAGGCGTGCTCACCCATGTGTCCCCTAAACGAAGTTGGAAATTAGTGCTGTGTCCACGTGTTACCTCTGTGTTTCTGTCCTTTCTGTGTGCTACAGATGTTAAGATGGAATACCGATATGCCAAAGCTTACGGTTTCTTTCATGCTGCCTTGGTTTAACAACTGAAAATTAGTGTGTGCTACCTGATGGGCTGAAAGAGCTTGAATGGTGTTGCAAGTGATGTAATTCACTCAGGCTGAGCGTTGAGCCCATTGGTGCAGCATAATTTCAACATTTCACAGCGCATGTAACGAGAATGAACCAAGAGGAGTCAGCGCTCTGTGTGTCTCTGCTTTGTTCATCCAAATTCCAAGCACTGTGAAACATTGATGAGGTATCAATCATACAGCTGCTCACCTGCTCATGCGACTCGAGTGGTGAAACACTGATAGATGGGTCAGGGTCAACATTGAAGGCACTTCTAAGATTGGCAGGGACACTCGGAGCCATGGAGAATATCTTATCGGTGTCCCATCCACTGAGAAATGACCCAAGGGTACTGTTCCTCAGAAAGCCACCAGTTGCAGTGTTTTGGCTCAGTTGCTCTTCGCCAGCCCCGGAACCATGCTCAACCGATGAAGTCGACCCTGAGCTATCGCCAGAGCCCCTGCCGTCGGCCGAACGCCTCTCGCCAGTTGAAGCCGATGCTTGGTTCCCGCATGCAACATGACACTGGGAGAACTGCATCGCAAAAAGAAATTTCAGGTAAGCATACGTTAAGTAAGGACCACTGCTTAATGGCTGAAAGCCCCTCTCAAATGCAGCCAATTCAACTTTGAATTGAGTAGATGAAAATCACCGTTCTATGCAAGCCAATTAACTCTTCTCTTTATGATACCAACTGCTACAGAAACATGTGTTTTCCTTCATACAGCATGTATCTGAAACTCAACAGTAAAATACCAACGTCAAAAGTTTCTGAAAAAATTGAGCTAGCTGCAAGCATTATGCAAGCAGTATTAAGCGCCTATTCATTATGTTATGCACGGAACTAATACGACAGGGATGGGGCATGGAATAACACACATAAGGGTTAACTTTCAATGAACCAGTTTCGCACTTACGTGTTAGTTGCACACTTAGCACTGTGAGTATGTCACCCCCAAAAAGGGCTAAAAGAATCTATCCTTGCTAAATATCAAAAGCACCATCAAAAATTTGTTTGTCATCTGTAGTTCCTTAATTATTGAATGCAAAAAAGATTAATTCTCCATTTTCTACGAGAGCATTCAACCCAATTATAGAGGGTGAGAGGTTAAATCACAGGGCTGATGCAGTGAGCTTATGGTAACCCATTGATGGCACCCTCATTCACCTGTGCACACACATCACAGAGTGACATGTACGCAACTGTTGTAACGAGAAAATAAGACTCAAATCACACTGAAAGATGGAGACATGCAATAGAGCTCAAACTGCTACACATAATACTGGTATACATATTTACATCTGTCAAAAGATGAAAAGACGAAACGCAACAGTTAATGCAAACCAACTCGGTGCATTTGCAGCGTCACCATCATCCACAAAGCAAAGCAAACACCCTTTCTATGTCAACAAGCTGAAATCTAAATTACATGCATTGAAAGCAAGCGCTTGTAAAATGACAAGCTCGGACAAGGCCAGTCAATGTCCCATCCAACCTCGCTAATTGAAGGCAGCTTCACTTGTACGCTGACACGCTGCCGTCCATCGATGAACACCACCGTGGTACTGTTTGTAAAGGGGCGACGAGCTGCTGTGTGGCAGATGTCCACGCTGTGCTGCAAGGTTTAACAAAGAAACACCACCGAAAATGTAAAAGGTAGCCAGATTCGCCTTTATTTTAATTACAAAGGAAACAAAGAGAAGATGATGCTTTATGGAGCATAAACAGCTCACAGCATTCATGATAATTCAATTAATTACTTTGCGGAACACTCAAAACCAAAGCAAGCTTTTTTTATGCCAATAAAAAAAAGAAAAAGAGAAAGAAAGTAATTTACATAAATGAGTTCAGCATTTGTGTGTATTGGCAATATAGTGTAGAGGAGTAGCAAATACTGGAGAACCCATACACATCAATCTTACACGGATCTGAAAAGTAGTTTGTTAATTAAATAAAATATTGACAGATAAGATAGTGTGCCCTCTCAGACTGTGTTGGTCTGACCGAGCCTCTACCTCAGACGTTTTTTTGCTGTCTCCTGTCAAGCTACCTTTCTGGATTGAGAGCAGTATAATTACAATGAACTAAAAAAAGATAACACATTTCGAGCTAGTTGTTCATACCAAGGTTCGTTGTCATCAACACGCACTGTTTTCGCCTCGGTTCTAAAAAAAGACAGCAGAGTAAACAAAGTGGCTGGGCTGCACCTCATGTGATGCGCCAATGGGTGATCGTAGCAAAGGTGTCGTGGTCTCTTTATGCTGAAGTTGTTAAAAGAGTCTGCACAAGTGTCATTGCTCATGAAAGCGTGTAACAGCGTGTTTCTGGCCCATTTAATACATTACTGAGCTTTGATCAGTGTCTCAATGCCTGCTACACGCCAGGGTGCATGAGTGAATATGCAGGAGTGCTAAAATTGCACCGAAACCTTTTCCTTTTGAGGAGCCTGCCGACCCACAAAAAGCAGGTGACAACCGGAACTAGCATAGATGTGCCTAGATTCTCTCTGACTACTGTGCTGTTTGCAAGCAATGCTTTGAGCAGTGCTGCATCATTAGTGACTATAGGTACATTACAAAGAATGAAGAAGTATGAACCCATAAGAATAGCCTTTGCTCAGCAGTCCCTACGATGTCCAGAGCATTTATCTTCACATGAGCTGACCTGCGCTCAATTGTTTTGTGAGCAATCTGAGCATATATAACTCTATCTCAAACTTTATATCAGAGATAACCCAGTTTTAATGTGCCTGTTTTGTGCAGTTGTTTTCTTTAGTGCAGAAAGACTATCTTTTTTCAACCACTTGCTTCCCTGGTGACAGTGCGCAGGTTATGTGGCCCGCAAGGGCTTAAAATACCAAGAAACCTAGCCAAGGAATCAGGCCAAAGGCGCCTGCATTTACCTTCGAGGCACGAACTCCATGCATCAGGGGTTATCGCAAGCACATCAAAAAGTGCAGGTGTGTATATAGCCCCTCTGTTATTTTGCCTAAATTGACTGTATAACTGGTTCTCCTTTTTTATTGAGTTGACCACTTATATTACATTGTTTTCCAGATTTCAATTTGCATAATGCCAATAAAAACAAGTGAATACTTGCTTATGACAGTGTTTTGTATTATGTAGGCTTGTGCAAATAGTAAATCTTAGGTATGAAGCAAATTCAAAGCAAATAGTGGTTCAGTTCAAATACCTTCGAATCTAATTCCAATAGCATATATCGTAAATTATAAAAAAGAGAGCATGTTATGACTCAGCTAACGTGAACAACATATATATATTTTTTTCATTGCAAAAAGGCATGCACAAATGTCATTCTCTTTGGTTCAAAAGAAATGGAAGCAACTTTCAGTAGCAGCTGAATTGGCTCTTTCGGTAGAATGGCACTGATAACCTATAAAATATATCCCGTTTCAGAACTTACTATGCTTGGAGCATATAAGGCAGTATAACAAGCTTTTAAATTTAACAACAGAAAAATCGATGGGAGGGTAATCTGTTCAATTTAGCCTTGAAGTCAGGCTTTGCGGCAGTGCGGATATTCCCTGGAAAGGTGTGATCATGGCACAGCAACCCCCACTGCAATGAAACCACCTTTACAAAAAGAAAGTTTTTTTTTTTTTTTTAAGTTTTCTATAATGTATATTCGAGTTGAAGTGAAGTCAAATGCATCAATATTCGTTCACTACAGTTCAGTATTATCAATTGAATTCTTTTATTTATAAAGTGTCAACGATGTAGCCAGCAGGGGTGGTGTTGCTTTATGCTTTGTAATATTTAGTTAGTGTAGGCGCATACATATACATGCACAAACACAGACAGTAAATTCACACCCATCACGCCCCATTGATACTATCCTTGTGACGCCCCAAGGGACAACCATCTTTTATAGGTGGTGCAACTTTCATTATATTACGTTATACTTCTGATATCTTTCAGCCCTCATAATATTGAAAAGGTCCCATTTATCCAGCACATAGAGACATACCACGTACACAGCTTCATGAACGGTAAACATTTGGTGTGCTGAAGAAGGGTGTCTATACAGGCTAGTTGGTTTTTCATTACAGGTTTTTTGGGTGTAGCGCTGTGTACGAAAATTGTAAGAAAGAAGTTGACATGTTTCGTGTGCTTTCAACAGGATATTATTTTTCAGCACTGGCGAAGCGAAAGCTGGGTTTTCTGAGAAGGAAACTCCGTAATGCACCGCCCTCTGTTAAATTGTTGGCGTATAAGACTATTGTTAGACCAACGCTGGAGTACGCAGCTATCATCTGGGATCCGCATACTAAAACTGAAATTAACAAACTTGAACGAGTACAAAGATTGGCCGCGAGGTTATTTATTCAAATTACATGAGAACACAGTCTGTATCACTTTTGCTGCTAGGGCTGACCTTCAATCGTAGCTACACGTAGAAAAATAGCTCGCTTTAAAATTTATTTATGACCTGTATCATAAAACTACAAGCTGGATCCCAGTGTATACCTGCGCCCCCCAGGACGAGTATCGGCTCGTACCAATCACTCATTTTCTGTCCAAGCTTATGTACCGCGGGGGATGTATTGTAAGTTTTCGTTTCTGGTGCGATCTATTGTTGACTGGAATGCGCTTCCTCCCGAAGGTACTTACAGGATGTAAATCCTCACAGGATTTTCAACGACGGCTGGACTTGCTTTTGCCTAACATTGTTTGTGTATTGTTAACCTGTTCACCTCCCACCCCTGCTACAGCCAGCAAGGGCTAGCAGTATTGTAAATAAATAAATAAAAATAAATAAATAAAAACAGATACCACTGAATGGCTAACCAGATTGACCGTCTTGCTGCACAGATGAATGATACCGAAAACAGGTCCCGTCGCAATAACCTGATCTTTTATAACATTCCCGACCCAAACCCTAAAGAAACATTCGCAGAATCTGAAGAAATCGTCACCCGTCATTGTCATGATCACTTGAAGTTCACCGTTGACCCTAATCACATTGAGCGCGCACATCGCCCAGGACGCCATACAGGTGGCCATAATCGACCACTCATTGTAAAATTCAATCAGTTCAAAACTAAAGAATCTCTACTTTCTAATGGCCCCAAATTTAAGGGAAGCAATTTTAGTGTTGGTGAAGATTTCTCTCATCCCGTTAGAGTTGCCCGTAAAAAGCTGATCGCTTTCGCTAAATCAAAATCTACTTCCTACTCATTGCGGTTCAAAACATTTCACATTGGTACCAAACGCTACGTGTATGACCACTCCACAGATTCTGTTCAGGAAATGTTGTAGCAATTGCCCCATCATCAAAATAGGCCTCACCGCCCTCGATCCGCCCCTCGATCAAACTTATTGCTCTCTGCTATCTTTACTAACATACGCAGCTTTATTCCAAAACGTGACATTATTTCTAATCTGGTGTTATCATCTGATAGCAACCTCTTGATACTAACGGAAACATGGCTTACTAGTGACGTGACTGACGGCGACGTACTTGCTGACATACCCAATTTTAGAGTGTTTCGAACGATCGCACGCACGAGAGGAGGAGGAGTACTCGTCGCTGTCAGTTACAACATATCCTGCTCGTCTATAAACATTGTGTCCGACCTTGAAATCTTGTAGCTTAAATGCCATGCCGCTCCGCACTCAGTTTTACTAGGCGTTTGCTATAGGTCCCCTCACAGTACTCCCGATTTTTCTGCTAAGCTCAATAATATCCTAAGCGAAATAATGACCAAACACCCTAACATGCATGTAATTCTGTTCGGCAATTTTAATTTTCCTAATGTCGATTGGGCAAGCCAGCCTGCACCAGCGGCTACGTCAAGGGAATCGAACGACTTCCTTGATGTATGCCTTAACTTTCACCTATCTCAAGTTCTTACAGAACCAACCCGCGTTACCGATAACTGCCAAAACATTCTGGATCTTATATTAACCAGCCATCCCGAGTGCGTGTCCTCCATTGCATACCTGCCTGAAATCAGTGACCATAAAGTCATTCATGCTGACTGCCTGATTAAGCCCGCTTTAGCCCCGACCATAAAAAAATCTATCCGTTTGTATGATAAAGGAAATTACGAAGCAATTAACTCTGAACAAACGAATATTTACCCCACTTTTCACACTGCCTTTTCTCATCATAATGTAACCGAAAACTGGGTGATTTTCAGAGATAAGCTAAACGAAATGGTTGATAAATACATTCCCCAAATTAACATCAATCCTAATACCGCCCAACCCTGGTTCAATAAAGCACTGAAACGATTAGAAAACAAGAAAAAACGCTCCTTCCGCGCAGCCAAGTCCCGTAACACCCCTGATGCATGGAACAAGTACAAAGCCGCCGAATCTGCTTATCTGCAAGCCATACGTCACGCCAAACACTCATTCTTCCATTCGGACGTACCTAACATGCTTAAGAACAACCCCCAAAAATTCTGGCAAGTCATAAACCCACAGGACACGCGCAATATTACACTATGTAATGAGTTAGGGGATGCCCTAAGTGACACGGAATGTGCACGCGTGTTTAACGCCGCCTTCGCATCCGTTTTCACCCAAGAAACTGAGTTGTCATTTACCATCCGTCATGCGAACTTTGAATGTACCATGCCACCAATTGCGTTTTTTTCCAGCGGTATTTCATCACTAATAGACAAAATCAAACTTTCTTCTTCAGCTAGTGTAGACAACATTACATCCAAACTCCTGAAAAATACTAAACATATCTGTGCAGTGTATCTGTGTCTACTATTTTCACAATCAGTTTCAACAGGAATGCTGCCTCCAGATTGGAAGCATGGAAAGGTCGTTCCAGTCCACAAATCAGGTAACAAACAATCACCATTAAATTATCGTCCCATTTCATTAACTAGCATACCCTGCAAACTCCTCGAGCATATCATCTACACACATATCATGGACTTCCTTGATTCCAATAATTTTTTTCATCCTGCGCAGCATGGCTTTAGGAAAGGGTATTCGTGTGAAACGCAGCTAGCTATGTTTGTTCACGACCTGCATGTTAACCTCGACTCTAACCTTCAGACTGACGCCATCTTCATCGATTCGCAAGGCATTTGACAAAGTTCCTCATGAGCGCCTACTACTAAAGCTTGCCGCATTGAATTTAAAGATGAGGTATTAGCATGGATTAAAGAATTCTTAACTAATCGTTCGCAATCAGTTTCCGTCAACAATCAAATGTCTAACACTACCCCCGGTAACCTCAGGTGTCCCTCAAGGGTCTGTCTTAGGCCCGCTTCTGTTTTTGATTTACATTAATGACCTACCATTACATGTATCTTCTAACACACGCATGTTTGCAGACGACTGCGTTATTTATCGTAAAATAAACAACGTTTCGAATAACACATCTCTTCAAACTGACTTACTAAGCTTACAGGAATGGTGTAACCTTTGGCTAATGAAACTCAACCCTAACAAATGTAAAACTGTTTCCTTTCACCGCCGTCGAAATCCGATAGTATTCCCGTACCAAATTGCTGACACAAACCTCGAATTAGTTTCTTCCTATAAATATCTCGGAGTAACCCTTTGTAGCGATTTAACCTGGGCAACGCACATTACGAACATCATTGCATCTGCTAACAAAACACTCGGGTTCTTAAAACGCCATTTGCGTCACGCTCCTAATAATGTCAAATTACTAGCTTATCAATCTCTCGTAAGGACGAAGATAGAATATGCATCAGCCATTTGGAGCCCGCATCAAGCCTATCTCATCAATCAACTCAAGTCACTTCAATATCGAGCCACACGATTTATTCATTCTACGTACTCTTACGACGTCAGCATGTCAGCACTGAAAACAGAATCTGGCCTATCATTGCTTGCATCTCGTCGCCGCATTTCTAGTCTTTCCCTATTTCACAAGTTTTTTTACAGCTCGCTCGGCAGGCCGCCATACATTCTTCCTCCGGCACGCATCTCCCATCGCACTGGTCACCCGCAACAAGTTGAGCGGCCGCGTACATGCACCGTCACTTTTTCGTCCTCATTCTTTTTTCCTGCAGCTACGGACTGGAAGGGCCTTTCTAACGAAATCACCGCCATAACCTGTCCTACCACCTTTTTGAACACCGTAACAAATTACCTTGCATTGTAAAAAATATAAAAAATGGCTTTCACGTTTTCATATATGTACCCACCCCTTATGTAATACCCCTTCAATGGGATCTTTAAGGTAATAAAATGAAATGAAATGAAATGAAATGAAATAGGTACATTACAAAGAATGAAGGAGTATGAACCCATAAGGATAGCCTTTGCTCGGCAGTCCCTACGATGTCCAGACCGTTTATCTTCACATGAGCTCACCTGCGCTCAATTGTTTTGTGAGCAACCTGAGCATATATAACTCTATCTCAAACTTTATATCAGAGATAACCCAGTTTTAATGTGCCTGTTTTGCGCAGTTGTTTTCTTTAGTGCAGAAAGACTATCTTTTTTCAACCACTTGCTTCCCTGGTGACAGTGCGCAGGTTATGTGGCCCGCAAGGGCTTAAAATACCAAGAAACCAAGCCAAGGAACCAGGCCAAAGGCGCGTGCATTTACCTTCGAGGCACAAACTCCACGCATCGGCGGTTATCGCAAGCACATCAAAAACTGCAGGTGTGTATAAGCCCCTCTGTTATTTTGCCTAAATTTACTGTATAACTGGTTCTCCTTTTTTATTGAGTTGACCACTTATATTACATTGTTTTCCAGATTTTAATTGGCATAATGCCAATAAAAACAAGTGAATACTTGTTTATGACAGTGTTTTGTATTATGTAGGCTTGTGCAAGTAGCAAATCTTAGGTATGAAGCAAATTCAAAGCAAATAGTGGTTCAGTTCAAATACCTTCGAATCTAATTCCAATAGCACATATCCTATATTATAAAAAAGTGAGCATGTTATGACTCAGCTAACGTGAACAACATATATATATTTTTTTCATTGCAAAAAAGGCATGTGCAAATGTCATTCTCTTTGGTTCAAAGGAAATGGAAGCAACTTTCAGTAGCAGCTGAATTGGCTCTTTCGGTAGAATGGCACTGATAACTTATAAAATATATCCCGTTTCAGAACTTACCATGCTTGGAGCATATAAGGCAGTATAACAAGCTTTTAAACTTGACAGAAAAATCGATGGGAGGGTAATCTGTTCAATTTAGCCCTGAAGTCAGGCTTTGCGGCAGTGCGGATATTCCCTAGAAAGGTGTGATCATGGCACAGCACCCCCACTGCAGTGAAACCACCTTTACAAAAAGAAAATGTTTTTTTTTTTTTTTTAAGTTTTCTATAATGTATATTCGAGTTGAAGTGAAGTCAAATGCGCTAATATTCATTCAAATATTCAAAACGCTTGCGCATTCACTACAGTTCAGTAGTATCAATTGAATTCTTTTATTTATAAAGTGTCAACGATGTAGCCAGCAGGGGTGGTGTTGCTTTATGCTTTGTAATATTTAGTTAGTGTAGGTGCATATATATACATGCACAAACACAAACAGTAAATTCACACCCATCACACCCTATTGATACTATCCTTGTGACGCCCCAAGGGACAACCATCTTTTATAGGTGGTGCAACTCTCATTATAGTACGTTATACTTCTGATATCTTTCAGCCCTCATAATATTGAAAAGGTCACATTTATCCAGCGCATAGAGACATACCACGTACACAGCTTCAGGAACGGTAAACATTTGATGTGCTGAAGAAGGGTGTTTATACAGGCTAGTTCGTTTTTCATTACAGGTTTTTTGGGTGTAGCCCTGCGTACGAAAATTGTAAGAAAGAAGTTGACATGTTTCGTGTGCTTTAAACAGGATATTATTTTTTAGCACACAGCTTTCTGAAAACAGCTAACTCCCAATATTGTGGCTCAGTTACTTTGAGCAAACTAAACACAAAACCACCCCCAAAAAAAAGAATTAAGAGAGAACAAATCAGAAAATGGCATGTCCCGTCTTTTGTCTCTTCTCCCTACTGGCGGTGGCTAGGTACTTAGTTAATTCAGAGTAATGTACTTACTAGTTCAGAATCAAGTTCGTCGCAATTACACTGAGACTATAAATCATTATGGCCATCAGCCTGCTATAACTTTTATATTTTGTGTTCCTTGAAGCAGTCCTTTGGCAACGAGAACTAATTTGCTGTATCTCTCAAGGGCGTTTATGAAAAAAGCATCTATTATAAGCTTTGAAGTTTTGTTCATCAAAGAGAGAGAGAGAGAGATAAAGATGCAAGGAAAGGCAGGAAGGTTAACCAGACCATCAAAGCTTACGACAATAAGTACGAGACTTTATAGCGACAGACACACAATGAAAGACACATCAAAAATAGCACCAGGGGTGCCCCCAACGCACTTATAGCAGTTTTTGCACGCTGCGCCTTCAGCCGTGAGTGACTGCAATGCCACTGCTGCAGTCAACGTGGAAGGCATCAGCCAGCCAGGCGCGGTCACACCATCCAATAATTCAAGTACATTTTATAAGTGTTCAAGGTAGCAATTCCTAAAATACTATGCAAGAACTACAAAGCCGCTGCCACTGCATTGGTGTAATTGAGTGTGCCATTCAAGCACCCAAAGCTCATGCTAGAACATGTACTTACATATTCATTTACACGTTCATGACTCAAGAGCGCTGCTTTGATATGCACATCTCAATACCCAACTCCTAACAAACCACCAGTACCTTCAATAAGAGGCAGTCGCTTACAGTGGGAGAGTGTTAACTCTGAATTGAAGCAGCCTGCTGAAACACTTAATTTATGGATGCAAAGCAATGTACAAGTAATCAATACAAAAGGAACTATTTACCCATGTCTCGTCATCTAGGGTAACCCCTTCCACAGGAACGGCATAGTATTCTTTCTTTGTTGCGACCGCAACCACTAGTTTTCCCTGAGCAGTGAAGAATGACTCCAACGTTCCATTTGGGGTGGTGAAGCTGAAAAAGCACAATTATATTAGAACAATGATGCGGTACTAGGTTTGGTATAGCTAGCTAATACTTCTTAATAGTTTTATTAGTTTCAGACAATGTTTGCATTTGTCATTAAAGTGCCAACATGAAACAGCTTTCTGGTTTGAAAATACTAAAATTCACTTTTCTTTCTGTAGAAAAAAAATTTACAATCATACTGCCCCCTAATTGTTTCCCAAAAGCATCTTACGTATTTTGTGCAAACTGAGTAGTGAAATCTGAGTCAGCTGCTTCTTAAAAGGCAGGATCAGTTCCAAACAGGCAAAGCATTGTTTAGAGTTACCAGCAAATGCTGGCTGTATTTATAGAAGCTCTTCATACTCATTAGGAGAGATTCTTATGATTCAGTACAGTCACTTAAAGCGTACAATACCCTCGTGATCATGAAAACATACATTATTTCAAAGGCACAAAATTGCACTTACAACGAATGTCTCTAAGTATCACCGGTCGGTTACAGCGGACAGAGTTGGCACTCTGGGGACTTCTTGGGACACCATTTTCGACTACCGATAAGCCGTTGGCGAGGTGCCCATATATTCTTATTCTTAAACACCGACCCTGCTTCTGCAGCCCTCAAGTTGTCGCTCTTTCCAACCGTTTTTTGTTATGCACCCCCTCCATCCATTGACACCCCGTTACTTTGAGCACCCCCGCATCACTAGATGAGGCCCGTGTTTTCACACTGCCACCAATATTTCGAAGACCAGTCGGCCAACTAGTTTCCCCTCTTTTTTTGATTGCTGGTTGTTTTACAGTTTTGTTGGCATCGCCAGCCGGGAGTGACAAGACTATTTGCCAACACCGTAGGCCATCGATTGTACCCAATCGTCTGCATCTGCGTCTTGTCTACATCCGTGTCGCATCGTTGCAGTGCGCGCGCTTGCGCTACCACACAGACTTTAATAATTCAGGATTTGTTTCCCGTTTAGGACTTGTTCTCACTCACATTTCACCCCACTCAGCGCGCCCTCCGCACGCGTTCGGAAGCGTAAAAATGGCTTTTACACAGAACGAATCACAAATGATTGAAGTCGGCAGGGCCCCGCAAGTTCGCCAACGCCACAATGCGATTCTATGACCTCTGCGTGCGCAGACCGCTCTTCCAAGTTCTTTTACATGCGAGTTGAGCATTTCCTGAACCCTGCAAGCAAGCTACCTGACCTGCCTTCTTCCCAGGTGTTTGAGTTTTCAAAATCACCTTCCCTCCGTATGCTCCTCTACTCATGCATCACTCTATCGCAACTCCACCTGTCTCCACCGCTCCGCAACGAGCTCAATTTTCTGGAGCGCGTGCTGTGAAGCATTGGTCTAGAATTTTTAATTTGAAATCAAATCACAACTATGTTTCTTTGATAGTGTGCTGTGCCACACGTGTACGGTTTTGTCATGTGCGTGGCGTCACGTGTAATGAGCAATATAATGTGTTGTAAGCGTATGCAATAAACAAAAGTTGGAAGTTAGCGCTCACACTGTTGCCAGCCTCAGCCTATACTGGCTTGAATGCAGAAGTTTCGTTTTCTGACTATAAACAGGCTCAGAGCAGTTCCATGCATGCTGGCTTTTACATCGCGCATACGCGTCTTGCTCGCTGTTGATGTGCGTGCGTGGTCAGGCTGACGGATGGGAGGCCATCCGCACTTTTTTCTGCAGCTCAACAAAACGTCAAAAGTGTAACCACTTGGCTTGAGAGTAATCAGCACGTTTATGACTTACTATAGGTGCAGCATTGTGGAGTGCTTGCTCATATCTGTTGACCACCTGGACAGCTAACTTGCCACTTCGGATGTCCCTGTATCCAGCTGTGGAGATGGTGAAGGCTTCGTGGGCGGTGGTAATAGCTACATGTGTGCAAAACTGTTTTCGCGAAGCTGATTTCGTTGACATCGGACCTGATTGATTGATATGTGGGGTTTAACGTCCCAAAACCACCATATGATTATGAGAGACCCCATAGTGGAGGGCTCAAGGAATTTAGACCACCTAAGGTTCTTTAACGTGCACCCAAATCTGAGCAAACGGGCCTACAACATTTCCACCTCCATCGGAAATGCAGCCGCCGCAGCCGGGATTTGAACCCGCGACCTGCGGGTCAGCAGCCGAGTACCTTAGCCACTAGACCACCGCGGCGGGGCCATCGGACCTGATGTTGAGCCAGAAGCTTCCAAACAAAACCACTCCTGCGGCGATCTATAGAAGCGCATCGTCGACTCAGACATGGGAGGGCGTGTGGGACATCTGTTGTGATGACTTCAAAACAGCCTATAGTGATGCAGACACTGTGAAACCGTGCACAGATGAGGGTATTGTGAATGAAGTGAACAGCAAGAGTGATTTCGAGGAATCTGATTCTGAGGACAACGAAGCTTTGGAGACAGAGCCTACAAGCATGCTTGTAGCAATTGGCTACATTAATGATAGCCTCGGGCAGCTGATGCCACGCGCCTTAGCGAAGGCATGCTAACTTGAGACCATCTGCATCACGAACTTTTTCGGGAAAAACATTTGTGTTTTCAATTGCAACTTCTTAAAGCTGTGTTTTTTCTTTTACTAAGAACTTCGAGATACACCAAACGGATGCCGCGTCACGCTCAGGTTCGTTATAAGCGGGCTCAACTGTGTTGCCTGTAATATAACAGTCTTTATGACTATAACTAGAAAGAAAGCACCTCTAGATTACAACTACCAGATTGGCAATGCTTTCCTCAAGCGTGTACAAAACTATAAATATCTTGGGTTATGGTTCACGCCCGACCTCCGGTGGAACACTCATATTGATAATGTAAAAATGGCTTTTACACAGAACGAATCACAATGATTGAAGTCGGCAGGGCCCCGCAAGTTCGCCGGCGCCATAATGCGATTCTATGACCTCTGCGTGTGCAGACCGCTCTTCCAAGTTCTTTTACATGCGAGTTGAGCATTTCCTGAACCCTGCAAGCAAGCTACCTGACCTGCCTTCTTCCCAGGTGTTTTAGTTTTCAAAAGCACCTTCCCTCCGTATGCTCCTCTACTCATGCATCACTCTATCGCAACTCCACCTGTCTCCACCGTTCCGCGACGAGCTCAATTTTCTGGAGCGCGTGCTGTGAAGCATTGGTATAGAATTTTTAATTTGAAATCAAATCACAACTATGTTTCTTTGATAGTGTGCTGTGCCACACGTGTACGGTTTTGTCATGTGTGTGGCGTCACGTGTAATGAGCAATATAATGTGTTATAAGCGTATGCAATAAACAAAAGTTGGAAGTTAGCGCTCACACTGTTGCCAGCCTCAGCCTATACTGGCTTGAATGCAGAAGTTTCGTTTTCTGACTAGAAACAGGCTCAGAGCAGTTCCATGCATGCTGACTTTTACATCGCGCATACGCGTCTTGCTCGCTGTTGATGTGCGTGCGGGGTCAGGATGGCGGATGGGAGGCCTTCCGCACTTTTTTCTGCAGCTCAACAAAACGTCAAAAGTGTAACCACTTGGCTTGAGAGTAATCAGCACGTTTACGACTTACTATAGGTGCAGCATTGTGGAGTGCTCGCTCATATCTGTTGACCACCTGGACAGCTAACTTGCCGCTTCGGATGTCCCTGTATCCAGCTGTGGAGTTGGTGAAGGCTTCGTGGGCGGTGGTAATAGCTACATGTGAGCAAAACTGTTTTCGCGAGGCTGATTTCGTTGACATCGGACCTGATTGATTGATATGTGGGGTTTAACATCCCAAAACCACCATATGATTATGAGAGACGCCATAGTGGAGGGCTCAAGAAATTTAGACCACCTAAGGTTCTTTAACGTGCACCCAAATCTGAGCAAACGGGCCTACCAACATTTCCGCCTCCATCGGAAATGCAGCTGCCGCAACGGGATTTGAACCCGCGACTTGCGGTCAGCAGCCGAGTACCTTAGCCACTAGACCACCGCGGCGGGGCCATCGGACCTGATGTTGAGCCAGAAGCTTCCAAACAAAACCACTCCTGCGGCGATCTATAGAAGCGCATCGTCGACTCAGACATAGGGAGGGCGTGCGGGACATCTGTGTGATGACTTCAATACAGCCTATAGTGATGCAGACACTGTGAAACCGTGCACAGATGAGGTATTGTGACTGAAGTGAACAGCAAGAGTGATTTCGAGGAATCTGATTTCCGAGGACAACGAAGCTTTGGAGGACAGTTGCCTACAAGCATGCTTGTAGCAATTGGTACTTTAATGATAGCCTCGGGCAGCTGATGCCACGCGCCTTAGCGAAGGCATGCTAACTTGAGACCATCTGCATCACGAACTTTTTCGGGAAAAACATTTGTGTTTTCACTTGCAACTTCTTAAAGCTGTGTTTTTTCTTTTACTAAGAACTTCGAGATACACCAAACGGATGCCGCGTCACGCTCAGGTTCGTTATAAGCGGGTTCAACTGTGTTGCCTGTAATATCTTCACAGTGCATGCATAGTATAAATAAACTTCTGTAACCAAACAAAACATACGATGCTTCCTAGTCAGTTAAACAAGCATGACACAAAACCATCTTAGTTGTTCCTACCTGTAGAACTGTCTCCGAAATGCACCTTCCTTGCGAGCATTTAGTTTTTCAAGGCGTACCCATGCGTGAAATGCAAAACCAGATCCAGGCCACTTTTTAATGTTTGGAATGACAATTCCCTGAAAAAAAAAGGGGGGGGGGGGTAAAAATGCTTTGAAAATCAATAATTGATGGCACAGTATGCAAAATGTTGAATTTCGATTCTGTTTCAAATATATGCTGCTTCGCTCTCAAGCGATGATACTGAACCACGAACATTTCTGCTTATGAATGCACCTGCCTTCCTCTCACCTCGTCTGGGTCACTGAAGTCAAAGAAGTGAGATGCCCCAAGCCACCCGTCACTTTTCACCATGCTGGACAGGGCATACATCAGTGGCAGTGTGTACTGGTGCTGGAAGGAGAAAGGAACTACTAAATAACCTCGTAAGAAGGATGATCTTCATTTCCGTGGAGAAATCTTTGAACAAACTTAGACTGAACTTATATTGTTACACGTCCTACTGGATGAACATGCACAAACACAAACATGATTTTTTTTTTTTTGCAAGTACCGCAGTATTTGTCGGAAGCAGCAGGGTCAGCGCTTGGATGACCGAAACTAAATCATGGTCTGTTTACCCTCATGCTGCAGGACAAGCGGGTTCTATGTGGTAATCCTTTAGTAAACAGCTGATAAGGTCCACTGTTAGGCTGAGAATTTCAGCTATACCGTATTTACTCGCATAATCCTCGCACTTTTTTTGCCGGAAAACCGATGAAAAGTTGGGGGGTGCGGGACTTACGCGGGGAAAGCTTTTTACGAAAACGTACAGAGCGAAAAAGAAAACGAAGTGGCCGCAAATTGGGATTCTCACACCAACAACTAACAGCAAGCTTTAAGAAGTACTAATTAAAGCTTACCTCAACAATAAAAGCACAGGTTCAACACAAGACAAGATTAAATTAAGACACATTTAAATTAAGACACAAAAAGTGGAACCAAATAGTCGAGAATTAGAATACCATACGCAAAGCTTGCGGACGTTGCGGGCGTAGCGGTAGCATTCGTCGCTCAGCAGGAGCCCTCAAAAGGTAAGCGTGGGACGTCAGTATTGGGCTGATGGCTATTTAACAGAATTGTCCACAGTTTCCTTCTCAAGAAGTAAAGTTAACCATTAATCCCAAGGGCCTACCGGCGGCCCTGTTGCTGTTCTTTAGTGCATTATCTATCACTTGCAACTTGAAAGCAGCCATACAGCTTCAGTATCGCCTCATAACTTGACAAGGTTACCGACGCAACATACTAAACACGCTGCAACGCGCACTGGCCACTTCAGCTTCGCTTGAGTTGGATTGAATCTCTGTGCAATACTAAGCTTGATGCTTAAGAGATGGCGCCAGATGACGTGCGCTATCATCATCAGTGCCTGGAAAGAGCAGACGACATTATTGCAGCAGTTTTCGGGGGTGCGATAATTACTCGAGGAAAAAAAGAAATCGTATTTTTGTTGGGCGATGTGGGGGGTGCGAGAATTGTGCGAGTGCAAGGATTACCCGAGTAAATACGGTAGTTCAAAAGCCCCACAGCCAGTGACAGCTTTAGACCGTAAGGAATACTTGTAATCAAATCTTGAGTACTGTATTGCACACCATTTCCGTACATTGAAAATTTCTGCAATGACATTTGTATGCAATCAAAAAATGCACGAAAGCTCACTTGTTCTCCTGAAGTACTTGGCCGCAACAGGTGGAAGAGTGCCTTCAGTTCCGATGTGCTGATGGAGCAGGAAGCCAGTGTGACCAGAAACTTCAAGAGCTGGCCTGGTGGTGCAAGGAGAGGCACAAACAGAAAAAAGTGTGTAAACCAAATAAAACAGACAGAGAAAGCAAAAGAAGCATGAAAAAATTTGTTGTGATTTGTTTAGTTCGAATGATAGAAATAATAACAAAATATAGCTAAAAATGATGAAAACTTGCCACCTGTAGAAGTATAAAGCAATTCAATGTTTTTTTTTCATTTTCTGGATCAATAAAGGGGGTGGCAAGGACTTTGCCCCACATACACTTAAGACGGCTTTTGGCAATTTTTATAAGACATCACACTAAAACACTAGGCATAGTGGTACTCAAAACAAAAAAAGTCCTTTAAAGGGACACTAAAGGCTAATAGTAAGTCGATGTTGAGAACCGTAATAGCGGTTCGGAAACATCATAGAGCTGCTTTCGTGGAAATGAAGGGCTTATTTTGAAACAAAATTATGTTTCAGTTTTTGTTTCCGTTTTAGTTTTAATGGTCTACATGATATTAGCACACTTCCAATTACCCGCCTCAAAGCGGAAACTCTCACGTCACTATTGCCGTGCACAACACTGCCCAGCTTTACTGCGTGGCTGCCGATACTAGTAGCAGCAGAGTGCAAGTAGCAGGAGCCACAGCAGCAACAACGGCTTCTGCCATGGCCTCTGAGATGGCAGGCGTGCTTGATTCAACTGGGCCCCACTAGGTGGCCGAACCTGTCCAGTTTAATCAAGCGAAAATTGAACTTTTGAAACACTCGTGCTATTTCCCATAGTGATGTCCAGTGGTTCTTTTTTCCATGAATCAAACAGAAACGAACACACAGCATTTCATTGCTTCTCTTGATGCACGGAAGGTTCTTTATTTGGAGGGTTCTTTGTAGTGATTACTTGTAGGCGGTAACTCTGCCGTCATCGGGATCATATTGCGAATGTCCTATCGTAGTGCATGTGTTCTCATGCATTTACCTTGATTTCTCGGTACAAAAGGTACTGCTGTTGATAATAGTGTCATTTTAGACATTGTCGTACACTGAGTTTTCACTCTGACATATATTGTAATTTGAGTTTAGTGTGCCTTTAAACTGAGTAGAGGCAATATGCACATACATAATATTTACATAGTTGTATAATGTTTACAACTTATCTAAAAAATCACCAGATTCTGGTTGCACACTGCCCTGCGTATGTATTCAAACAATATACACAAGATCATAAAAATATTGCTATATCACATCAAGCAAGCCTTAAAAACTAAAAAATGAAATGAAATACATTAACAGTGTGTGTGAGTGAGTAAAAACGTTATTGACAATGCCCGGCGGTATTTAGCGGGGTGGGGCTACAAGCACCCCAGCCTAGACGACGGCCTCGAGTTTCTACACGGGTGGCTTTTTGGGCGTCCCGGACTGCCCACAGTTGATCGGCGAGGTTGTGGCTGAGCAGAGTCGCCTCCCATCGCATCGCGCCTAGTGGTTCAGGGCTGCCATGTCTACTCAGTTCATAGGAAACTACCTACCCCGCTTCCAGTACACTCCCACAGCATGTGCTGCAGCGTTGCTTTTGCTCCACACACTTTAGATTCAAACACTTTTTCTCAATCTTAAAAATCAATGAAAAGAGAAATGTAACCCAGTTGTAATTAATGAAGATTCACCTTGCTTTTTAAACACGAATGATGGGCATTCGTTATTAACTTGCCCCCCTATTTCATTTAATAGACAAATACTTTGGTATAAAATTGTTTGCCGTAGTTTGTTCGCCACTTCAACTACAATGGACATTGTAGTGTATGTATATTGTATGTTTAATGTATATTGTCACGGGGTCGTGACGTGGCCAAAGACAGGAAACTTCGTGTTGGGATTTAACTGTTTATTTGGGCGAACCTGTGCCCGGTAAAGGGAAAGTCTAATTACAGCAGCAGTCTTGCACAGACAGCAGTCTCGGACTGATAGCGGCGAACGCAGCGTCGGCCTTCGATCAACAACTCACAAGCGGCGAAGCGCGTCGGCATTTATACCCTTGCCGTCGAATGTTCTAGCGTTATCGCTGGCGGTGGCGTAGGTTCCAGAACAATCTGTACCGTTCGCACAGTGGGCGTGATCTTATCGAAATGATCTACTACAGTCCGGAACCTTCTCGAAACCTGCAGGCGCGGTTTGCGCCGAGAATCGTGTGGTGTTTCGGAACGATAACAAAAACTTGTGAAATGGAACGTGGCATTGCCCCCCTCTGAAAAAAGGCATCGTCCCGATGCTTTAACTAAACATGAAGGTACAATAATATTGCAAGAAAGTACAATGAATAAATTACAATACAACAACAATACAAAACACACTGTTTCAGTTTGTTAACGTGCATGAAACGGCTTGAGGCGCGCGACATGGACGACTTCAGGTCGCGATCGGCGTCGTTGAGAGTTCGTGATGCCGTCGGGGACAACCTCGTAATCAAGTGGGCCGAGACGTCGAACCACCTTGTACGGTCCGAAGTACCGTCGCAGAAGCTTTTCACTTAGTCCACGTCGGCGTATCGGCGTCCACACCCAAACACGTTCACCGGGCTGGTATTCCACGAAGCGTCGTCGAAGGTTGTATTGGTGGCTGTCGGTCGTCTGTTGATTCTTGATACGGAGACGCGCAAGTTGTCGGGCTTCTTCGGCGCGTTGAAGGTACTCGCTCACATCGAGGTTTTCTTCGTCGGTGATGTTGGGTAACATGGCATCGAGCGTCGTTGCCGGGCTCCTTCCGTAGACCAATTTGTATGGAGATATCTGCGTCGTCTCCTGCACCGCCGTGTTGTATGGCGTCCCACGATGGCGTCCCACGTCTTGTGTTCGACATCAACGTACATTGACAGCATGTCGGCGATCGTCTTGTTAAGCCGCTCGGTGAGGCCGTTGGCCTGTGGGTGGTACGCTGTCGTCCGGCGGTGGTTTGTTTGGCTGTATGCCAAGATTGCTTGAGTTAAGTCGGCAGTGAATGCCGTTCCTCTGTCGGTGATAAGGACCTCCGGGGCGCCGTGACGTAGGACGATATTTTCGACGAAGAACTTAGCTACCTCGGATGCACTGCCTTTTTGGCAGGGCTTTTGTCTCGGCGTAGCGGGTGAGGTAGTCGGTAGCTACCACGATCCACTTGTTTCCGAAAGCCGACGCCGGGAACGGCCCCAGTAGGTCCATACCAATCTGCTGGAAAGGTCGGCAAGATGGATCAATTGGCTGCAGAAGTCCCGCTGGCCTTGTCGGCGGTGTCTTGCGTCGCTGACAGTCCCGGCATGTCCTCACATAACGAGTGAAGTCGGTGGTAAGACGTGGCTTTCTTGTATCCTCGCGAGCGTGCGGGAAACACCGAGGTGCCCTGCCGTCGGATCGTCGTGCAGGGCCTGCAGGAGCTCTGGTCGCAGAGCTGAAGGCACCACAAGGAGGTACTTAGCTCGAAGCGGTGAAAAGTTTTTCTTTTGTAGAAGACCGTTTCGTAGAAAGAATGACGCAAGTGCGCGCTTGAATACCTTCGGGACTTCGGCGGTCCTGCCTTCGAGGTATTCTATTAGGGCTTTAAGTTCCGGGTCGGCCCGCTGTTGTTCAGCGAAGTCGTCGGTAGTTATCGTTCCCAAGAAGTAGTCGTCATCCGAGTCGTCGGGTAGCGGTTGGTCGACAGGCGCACGAGAGAGACAGTCAGCGTCGGAGTGTTTTTTGCCGGACTTGTAAATGACAGTAATGTCATATTCTTGAAGTCTCAGGCTCCATCGTGCGAGGCGACCTGAAGGGTCCTTCAAGGTGGCTAGCCAACACAAGGCGTGGTGGTCGCTCACAACTTTGAAGGGCCTGCCGTAGAGGTAGGGGCGAAATTTCGACGTAGCCCAGATGATGGCGAGGCACTCCTTTTCTGTTGTGGAATAATTTGCTTCTGCTTTGGATAGCGATCGGCTGGCGTAACTAATAACCCTTTCAAGTCCGTCAGCCCTCTGCACAAGAACGGCGCCAAGACCTACGCTGCTTGCGTCAGTATGTATTTCTGTCTCGGCGAATTCGTCGAAATGGGCAAGTAACGGAGGCATCTGGAGGCGATGTTTAAGCTCCTGGAAAGCGTGTTCCTGTGGCGTTTCCCACTTGAACTCCGAGTCGGCCTTGGTAAGGTTAGTGAGAGGATCGGCGATGCGGGCGAAGTTTTTCACGAACCGCCTATAATAGGCGCACAGGCCCAGAAATCGGCGCACGGCCTTCTTGTCAGTGGGCGGCGGGAAGTCGGCGATGGCGGCTGTTTTCCGTGGATCGGGACGAACTCCAGACTTGCTGATAACGTGCCCTAGAAACAAGAGCTCCTCATACGCAAATCTGCACTTTTCTGGCTTCAGTGTGAGTCCGGACGTCTTGATGGCTTGAAGTACAGCTTCAAGGCGCCGAAGATGCTCGTCGAAACTCGAGGAAAACACGACGACGTCGTCCAAGTACACAAGGCAAGTCTGCCACTTCAATCCTGCCAGTACTGTATCCATAACGCGTTGAAAAGTTGCAGGCGCTGAGCAAAGGCCGAAGGGCATCACCTTAAACTCGAAGAGGCCGTCCGGTGTTATAAACGCCGTCTTCTCTCGGTCTCTTTCGTCGACTTCAATTTGCCAATAGCCAGTCTTGAGGTCCATTGACGAGAAGTACTTGGCGTTATGGAGCCGATCAAGTGCGTCGTCTATTCGTGGGAGAGGATACACGTCCTTTCTTGTGATTTTGTTCAGGCGGCGATAGTCGACGCAGAAACGTAGGGTCCTATCCTTTTTCTTCACTAACACCACGGGGGATGCCCACGGACTCTTGGACGGCTGGATAATGTCATCTCGCAGCATTTCATCAACTTGTCTCTTCATTGCCTCACGTTCTCGCGTCGAAACCCTGTACGGACTCTGACGGAGTGGTCTGGCATTTTCTTCGGTTATGATTCGATGTTTCGTGATTGGGGTCTGCCGAATTTTCGATGGCGACGAAAAGCAATCTTCGTATTGCAGGAGCAGGGCCTTGAGCTGTTCTT